GAAGACACCTGGTGCCACAAACTAATCAGCTGATTAACTCAAAACACCTGCAAAGGACTTTAAATGGTCTCTCAGTCCAGTTCTGAAGCCGACACAAACATGGGGAAGACTTCAGGTTTGACAGCTGTCCAAAAGGCGACCATCGACACATTGCACAAGGAGGGAAAGACACAAAAGGTTATTGCTGAAGAGGCTGGCTGTTCTCAGAGCTCTGTGTCCAAACACATTAATAGAGAGGCAAAGGGAAGGAAAAACTGTGGTCAGAAAAAGTGTACAAGCGATAGGGATCAGCGCGCCCTAGTCAAGATTGGGAAAAAAAAAAAACCCATTCAAAAATGTGGGGGAGATTCACAAGGAGTGGACAGCCGCTGGAGTCAGTGCTTCAAGATCCACCACCAAGAGACGCTTGAAAGACATGGGTTTCAACTGCCGCATACCTCGTGTCAAACCACTGTTGACCAAGAAACAGCGCGAAAAGCGTCTCACCTGGGCTAAGGAAAAAAAGAGCTGGACTGCTGCTGAGTCCAAAGTCATGTTTTCTGACCAAAGCAAATTTTGCATTTCCTTTGGAAATCGAGGTCCCAGAGTCTGGAGGAAGACAGGACAGGCACAGGATCCACGTTGCCTGAAGTCTAGTGTAAAGTTTCCACCATCAGTGATGGTTTGGGGTGCCATGTCATCTGCTGGTGTCGGTCCACTCTGTTTCCTGAGATCCAGGGTCAACGCAGCCGTCTAACAGCAAGTTTTAGAGCACTTCATGCTTCCTGCTGCTGACCTGCTCTATGGAGATGGAGATTTCAGGTTCCAACAGGACTTGGCGCCTGCACACAGCGCAAAATCTACCCGTGCCTGGTTTACGGACCATGGTGTTTCTGTTCTAAATTGGCCAGCCAACTCCCCTGACCTTAGCCCCATAGAAAATCTGTGGGCTATTGTGAAAAGGAAGATGCAGAATGCCAGACCCAAAAACGCAGAAGAGTTGAAGGCCACTATCAGATCAACCTGGGCTCTCATAACACCTGAGCAGTGCCAGAAACTCATCGACTCCATGCCACGCCGCATTAATGCAGTAATTGAGGCAAAAGGAGCTTCAAACAAGTATTGAGTATCGTACATGCTCATATTTTTCATTTTCATACTTTTCAGTTGGCCAACATTTCTAAAAATCCCTTTTTTGTATTAGCCTTGAGTAATATTCTAATTTTGTGACACACAGAATTTTGGATTTTCATTTGTTGCCACTTCAAATCATCAAAATTAAATGAAACAAACATTTTAATGCATCAGTCTGTGTGCAATGAATAAATATAATGTACAAGTTACACCTTTTGAATGCAATTACTGAAATAAATCAGGTTTTTCCAAAATATTCTAATTTACTGGCTTTTACCTGTACTGCTGGATAGTAAATTATAAACATGTCATTCACATCAAATTATTGGTAGGGACAAGCAGGTCGCTCCAAAATTTCAGTAGGGACATGTCCTACCCTCACTTATGGTCATGAAATCTGGATCATGACCGAAAGAACGAGATCCCGGATACAAGCGGCTGAAATGAGCTTCCTCTGCAGGGTGGCTGGGCTCTCCCTTAGAGATAGGGTGAGGAGCTCGGTCAATCGGGAGAGGCTCAGTTTAGAGCCGGTTCTCCTCCACATCGAGAGGAGTCAGTTGAGGTGGCTCGGACATCTTCTTCGGATGCCCCCTGGACGCCTCCCTCGGGAGGTGTTCCAGGCACGTCCCACCGGGAGGAGGCCCAGGGGACGACCCAGGACACGCTGGATAAAGCGGGAGACGACGAGTACAAGTTCATGTCCTTATGGTTCCTATGCACACCTATGCCTATGATTAAAAGGTTTTATCAAATGGGTTTGGCTGTTTTAAGGACAGATTGTGGGACTATAAATCTGATATTGATGAAGAAGCTCCTCGAAAATGTTGTTAGCACCCAGAACAGCAGTGAGACATAATGGAGAGTTATTGTCACTGGATGATTTAAATAATAAATATGCCTAATTCTCAACCCAGGAATATGGACAAATTATAAATTATTCACTAAATATTTAGTATGGAGCCAAATATTTATCCAATAAAGTAAATATTTAGTTTGGAGCAAGATATTTAACAAATATTAAGATTGTAAAATATTTTGTTCCAAACTAAATATTCTGCCAGCTTGGTGCTAGCTGAATATTTAGTTTGTTAAATGTTTAATTTGGAGATAACTATTTATTTAATGAACTAAATGTTTAATGTGGAGCTAAATATTTATTTCACAAAATAATTATTTAATTTGCAAACTAAATATGTATTTTCAAAGTAACCTTTTTAAAAATGAATGAATAAGGCAGTGAAAATATGACTTGGGGTGGGAACTTATTTTTCTTAAAACACGCTAAAGAACCATAAAAATATTTGACTCCCAAACTTTACAAACGGCACCCCCTAGTTGAGACGCTCCGATTGAGACAAACTTGTTTTAAATGTTTTATATTTACATTAATTAACTCTCAAACATTTTCACGTGAATAAAATAACACAAATTCTGCATGTCAGTTCTGTTTAAGTCTACATAAGAAACCTGAGCTTGTTTTAATGTCCGTCAGATACAGATCAGCGTTCCATGTTAAAGTATTCTGTATGAATAATCCATCTGACCACATAATGAATAATCTGTTGCATTAAGTGAAAGTTTTAGCCAAACAGCCCAGGATTGTGTAAAGTGAGAGACAGCAGCGCGCGCTGGAAGTCCTCCTCGGTCCAGGGCTCCCTGCGGGCCTCCTCTGCACCGCCTCTGCTGCTGCTGTCTGACGTCATGCTGCTGCTGCTGTCCGGGCTGATGCTCAGCGGGTCGTTAAACGTCATCAGGATGTCTGTGGAGAACTGCGGCAGCCGGAGGAGGCCCAGGTGAATGCTGACCGTGTTCCTCGCCTCTTCGTTGAACTTGGACACACTTTGGGTCCCTCTCAGCATCCAGGCGCTGCTGCACTCCGATAGAGACACGCTGCCTTTCGCTATGGCCTCAGCATTGCCCACTACAGAGGCCCCTGGCCCCTGAGCTTTATTGCTGCCCGCTATGTCCTCAAAGTGGAACCTAGCTGCGTCCTGGTCGGCCACCTGACCCTGATACTCCAGCAGCTCCACGATCAGGCTCTGGTCGGTGTGAGGATGGGCAAACACCTCCTGGTTGTCCGGGATCTCCCTCAGCTCGCTGATGTCCGTGATGTTGGAAGGGAGGACCGCTGACAGAGCTCCGCCGAAAAGAGGACGGAGCCGCGGGGCCGCTGCAGCCTGCATCTCCCGTTTAAGGCTAAAGGAAGCTGCAAAGGAAGGAAACAAATACAAATATTGTCACTTGCTGACAGCAGGCACACAAGCACGTGCTTAAATTACGCATTAAACGTCAACATAAACACCAACTTACAAGAGAGCGAGAAGAAACTATCCAGCGGCACACACGTTCAAACTTTGCTCTTCTTCGTGTGGTTTTTGTTGTTGGTTGTGGTTTACCAGGCGCTCTGCTGCCCCTACAGGCGAGGAGCGCAGGCAAGAGGATTAAACATAGACCATTATATAATATAGACCTAATTGGACGCTGGCCGACGTGCCTAGAGGGCGGCCATCTTGGATCAGACCACAGTTCAGACAGCTGCTGTCAGAATGAATAGGAGGCGCCTTAGATCTCATCTTAAACCCATGAAAGACGAGTCAGAGATAATATTACAATAATCTCTTACCTGTCACAACCCCTGAAAAGACCAAAATAAATCCTAAAATATATATTATATATGACACACGTTAACTGATTAAAGAACAAATGTTCACATTTGCATAAATAATGATAATAAAAACATAGTTTGAAAAAGAGTTTTTACGCAGGTCTTGACAATGACAAAAAAATAAAAATGAACATAAATTTAATAAAAAAAACTAAATATTAACTTTACTCTCTTTTGTAAACCACATTACAACAAAGTTTCCAAATCAATCCTTAAAAATACAGAATAATAATAATATACTATATAAATATACAATATTTGTAAAACATAATCTTATAGTATAATAATATAAAACTTTGCATTTATCATATTAATATTTAATTGCAAAATATATAACTTTGCATATATCTTTAAACAATAGTTTCAATAGTTTTTATCTAAATAAATATGTGCAATCTAATATAAAGGTAATTTTAAATTTTGTTTTATATATTTGGTTGTATATTATTATGATTCAGCACTTTTAAGGATTGCTCTTTGATAATGAGTATGGAGGAAAATTTGTTGTAGTGTAATTTACAAAAGAGAGTAGAGTTATTTTGTTTTTTAAATAATTTTTATGTTAATTTTTATGTATTTTTTTGTCATTGTCAAGACCTGTGTCAAACCTTTTTTTTAAACTATGTCTTTATCATTATTTATGCATATGTGAAAATGTGTTCTTTAATCAGGTAATGTGTGTCATATATAATATATATTCATATTTTAGAATTTGTTTCGCTCTTTTAAGGGGTTCTGACATGCAAGAGATTATTGTAATATTATATCTGAATTGTTTTGTGTGTGATTGAAATGAGATCTGAGCTGCCTTCTATTCTTTCTGACAGCAGCTGTCTGAACTGCGGTCTGATCCAAGATGGCCGCCCTCTAGTCACGTCAATTAAACCTGAAGTCTGGCAATATGTTTATATATGTTTTTATTATTATTATTATTATTATTATTATTATTATTATTATTATTATTATTATTAAGAATATGTTCTCTAGGTTTATAATACCGACCTAAACACCATCATTGTGAACATGAATTCATAATTTTGCTTTTATTTTATCAGTACAGATTACTTTAAGCTATTCAGTGTTACTTTTGATAACTAATACAAATAATTAATTATGTCCTTATCGTCTACTAATAAGTGTTCATAAATAAATATTACAGACATCTTACCCTAAGAAGATTTGCACAGTTGTTGTCTCTCCTGATCCAGCTGTTTCTACCAACTTCCTGCCCGCCTGGTCAGCTGATTCAGGCGGTGGAAAGAGACAGAGGATGAGCATCGCTAGCATCCACAATGATTACGATGTCTCATGGTTTAGGACAGCCGGTAAAATGAATCACACCTATCTGTAAGACCGATTAAGCAGTGGAATCTCTGGTCTGATAGCAGAGTCTCTCTGTGGAGGAAGGTTTTTCAGCGGATCTTCGATCAAACAGCAGGTAGGTACCTGGTGACGTCGGCATCATTAGCTTATTCTAGCTTAGCTTAGCCTAGCATAGAAAGGGCCTTCTTTATCTGGATTTATTGTATATTTATTGGCCTGTTCTCTAGCTGGATAGTTTATACGATACTTGATGCTGTATATATATATATTTAACGAGTAACATGTTGTAGAAAATTACACTTCTGGGTGTTTTTTTGAGGGTAGTAAACAATTAGCTTAGTGAAATGCTAAAATTGTAACGGGTGAAACGACAGATAAATCTGTTTCTGTTTGCGCAGATAGAAATAATCACTATACTGTATCATCATCGTATGAAAGAGGGGTTTCCATACAAATTTCACGAAAAATAACTAACGGTTGGAAGTAAGAAAATAAAAACAAAAAAAGTATTGATAAATAATAAACAAACTGCAATAAATGAGCACCGAAAAAAATAAATAAAAATAATGATTGGATGTAGGATCATTTCAGTATCAAATTATTCAATCTTTATAGAAACTTCTCTCTAAAAAACTTTTTTTTACATCCCTAAAAATCAACAATGATGAACTAATGTTTCCATTAAGTAGAGCTGATCTTCTATCATAGGCATCATTATAATCTCAGTGTTTGCAGTCGCATTTTAATGCAGGTGATGTAAACCAGCCATTTATCCTTATGATACTGGGTACAGAAAGTATTCAGACCCTTTTAAATGTTTCACTCTTTGTTTCATTGCACGCATTTGCTATAATTTATAAAGTTCATTTAATTTCTCATTAATGTGCACTCAGCACCCCATCTTTACAGAAAAAATCAAAAAATTTAGACATTTTTGCAAATTTATTAAAAAAGAAAAACTGAAATATCACACGGTCAGAAGTATTCAGACCCTTTGCTCAGTATTGAGCAGCCATAAGTTTGGATTTGGGGATCTTCTTCTTTGCTGATCCTCTCCAGGTTTTCAGGTCGGATGAGAGCGTTGATGGACGGCCATTTTCAGGTCTCTCCAGAGATGCTCCCTTGGGTTCAGATTAGGGCTCTGGTTGGGCCAGTAATGAACGGTCACAGAGTTTTTCCCAAGTCACATCTTTGTTATTTTCGCTGTGTGCTTAGGGTCATTGTCTTGTTGGAAGGTGAACCTTCAGCCCAGTGTGAGGTCCTAAGCTACCCTGGAAAAGGGGTTTCTTGCAGGATATCTCTGTATTCGGCCGCATTCATCTTTCCTTCAATTGCAACCAGTGGTCCTGTCCCTGCAGCAAATAAACACCCCCATAGCATGATGCTTGACAGTCTTTACCATTCCACCATCAGGTTTGCCATAAATGCTCCTTTCAATACAAACCACTGCGTCTGTATTCATCTGTCAACTGGCCCTCCCTTCACAATCGACGCAAAATTCACTGGTTCATCTTCATTTGCAAGACCCTTCTGGGCCGCTCACCACTTTAATTAGATCAGCTACTGCAGCCAAAGCCTCTCTTACAACATGCAGTCCTCACTTCGTCTACAATCACTTATTCCTAAAACCACTACTGTTGGTCTTGCTTCTTTTCAATCTGCTGCTGCTCGTGACTGGAACACTCTGCAAAATATTCTCCAACTGAATAGACTAATTTCACTTTCATCCTTCAAAACAATTATATCATCGTCGTTCACAGACACTTGCAGCTGCTTCTCTACATAGTCATTTCTGGGTTGTTTGTTGTGTTTTAAATTGTATTTTATGTATGTATTACTAATGTATTTATTTTAGCCCTACTTCCCTTTTCCTAAGTGGTTACTCCACTGTTGGGATTGTATTGGGCAGGTGATGAGCAGTACCTGGTTTTCTCCACACTTACAGCTTAGAATTAACGCCAAAAAGTTTTCATCTTGGTCTTATCGGACCAGAGAATCTTTTTTTCCTCATAGTCTGGGAGTCCTTTTTGTGTGTTTTGGCAAACTCTATGCAGGCTTTCATTCGTCCTGCACTGAGGAGAGGCTTCTGTTGGGCCACTCTGCCATAAAGCTCTGACTGGTGGAGCACGGCAGTGATAGTTGACTTTGGGCCTCGCGACTGTGATACCATGTGACCGCTTCGGGAAGCGCAAGAATTTTGACAGGCATCTGAACAGCCTCACCACAGGGTGCTGGGTTCACATTAATGAGAAATAAAATGAACTTTATTGATTTTAGCAAATGGCTGCAGTGAAAAATGTAAAGGGGTCTGAATATTTTCCGTACCCACTATATATCAGTTGACCTGGATGGACTTTCTGTCTTCTTTACACTAACACCTAATATGGATCTTGGTGACTGAGATCCTAAAGCTATGTTGATAGCTGAAACATCATTATGAACAGAGCCAGGGTAGTGCAGAAAATCTGGTTTAGTTTCAGTCAGAATTCATATTACATTATTCCATAGCAAGGTCAGAACATAAGGTTTTCATCATATGGAGCAGTGCTCATCAAGATTACTACATTTCGTACAAAATGCTTCTATTTCAAATCCGTTCTTGTTTAATAATGTTTTCTCCCCAGGGCAATGGGGTCAGTGCCTTTCTTCATCATTGTTTTGGTGAAAGGCAGGGTATATATTAGGGGTGGGTATTGCCAAAGAAGTCACGATTCAATTCGAATCACGATTCACAGGCCACGATGCGATTCTATCACGATCCATCACGATACTTGAATTATTGCGAAGCATTGCAATATTTTCTCCTCCATGTTTTGTTTTGAATGACTCGGTGCAGTATCCTGCTGCCGGAAATGCTTGAGACACAAGGCAGCGTGCGTCAACACATCCGCAGCAACATCTACTGGACTGGAAGTTGTATTACACTTGTTTTTGGCTAATGTTCGCCAACCTATCATGCAATTTTGTTTATTAATTTTTTAAAATTAATAATCGATACTTGGCATCAAGAATCGATGCAGTAGATCACAAAAATTAGAATCACGATGCATCATCATGACGATTATTTTGCACACCCCTAGTATATATGCTGGACAGGTTGCCAGTCCATTGCAGGGCAACACAGAAAAAACCACCATGCAAAAACACACACACACTCACATTTGAGGACAATTTACAGACTCTTTAAAGTATCGTTTCTAGATACCCTCCCTTATGCAGTTTTAGAAATGACCCTCTATAAAAAATTATATGTATTTTTTTTTTATTTGACTTTTATATTTTACTAATCAATCTTTTGGTTTCTAAACTTGTTTGAAAATCAAAAAAATCCACTTCCAATAACGATTAAAAACTAGACAAATGGTACTTAGACTGAGGGTGATCAAAGCAGGTTCAGTTTCCAAATAAAGCCATGGAAAGGTATTTTTTTAGGTAAAAAAACAAACAAACAAAAAAATACAATAAAGGTATAAAGTTTATCTGTCTGGATTTGAAAAGTCGAAGCCAAAAGCCAACCATTCCATTGTTTATTAATATAGAATACAGCTAGTATAACCTGTCCACTGTAGGAATCTTTGCAGTGATTTTCACTCAAATATCCAGAATTTTATAACTGTTTCGAAATGTTATGTAAAAATGTAATTTTAAAATACAAAATGCTATTTGCTCTTTCGTATTAATGAAAGCTGCGATCTATAGCACCACTTCACAATCATTAATATTCCAGAGTATAGATAACAAACCAGTTTTAGCCAGTCTGATGTTGAACCTTTGTATTGCAGAGAATATCTTTCAGGACATTTTACGTTCTAACATAAAGTCTCAACTATTTTTCATGGGTTGTAGCTTCTAAAGTAGCAGAAATATTGTGTTTGTTTCCTGGAAGTCTTCCTTTAGATCAGTCTGCTGTTTCTTTCTGTGTTTCTTCACTTTCTTCAGATCTGTCCGCTGCTTCTCCTCCCCTCTGCTCTCTTGGCTTGGGAAAGGCTGTTTTTTTCCTCCAAACGCAACGCCAGAAACGGACGTTGAGAAAGTATCAGACTTAACCGGAATCAATGGTACAAGTCTTATTGTCGCAGTGAGGAATGGGGTGGTGAATAAGATCATGAATCCCCCCCTTCAGAAAATGACTGTTCCGCTTGGGTCATATGTTATTTAGCTCAGTGTCACAGAGGCATTTTATTGAGATGTGTTTGAGTGTTTCTGTTTTTTTTGTTTTTTTTTTCTCCCCTCTCTGGAGAACATAACACCCAAACACAGATTCAAAGATGTGTTTCTGGAAGAACAGCATGTTTTCCAGATCCACACCATAGAATTGTTATTCCCAAAAGCATGATGACATTTCCTTTTTATATTCAGTAAATGTTAAAGTCCAATTTGCAGGAATATGAATATTAAAAATCATTAAAGATGTACAGATCTATTTTTTTAGATGAGAATAAACAGATGAATCATCTCAGTTCATAGGGCCCTATAAAATCTGTTTTATTTTTTCCCAAATTGCGTTTTTTCCGTTTTTATGTATGTATTTTTGCGCTTCCAATCAATGGAATGTTGACAAAACTTGCCAAACAATAGTTCACCTGACACGTAAAAGTCACGAGGGAACTGCTTGGCTCTGTATTCAGGGCTTAGCACCGTGTTTCTCAACTTTTTTGCCGAAAGCGGAGCTGTGGAGAGCCGCTTCTCCATATTTTAAATGTTTTGATGGAGGAGGGTGAGCGGAAATGACGGAGCGGGAGGGGTTGTGTCGCCCAGATTTGCGTCCCCCGGTGTGCATTTCCCCCCGATGTATGTTCTTCACCCACACAAAAACAGAATTTCAATTCAAATGTAGAAATTCCGCGTTTACACTAGATTCCGCATTAATTTGCCAAGTCTGCTATTCCGTCCGCGATTCCGTGATCGCGGAAATTATAGGGCCCTAAGTTCAGGAGTTTAGCAGGCCTTAAATGAGAAGTCTGGTCAGCAAGGAATAATCAATGAATCATTATTTATACCTAAAACTAATACGTTCGCTGTGATTAATGAATTGAGAGTTAATCTGTAAAAAAATAAAAACAATAATTTTCATCGCGATCACAGAGTCTGGGAGCGGCCATTTTTGCCCAAATATGGTAACAACTCTCTCCTGAAATGTACCAGGAGTGATGTGACCGTGCGGTAAGCCTAGCGGTAAGCCTAGCGCCATAAACTGACAATGCAGTTGGATGTAGATAAAGACTCTCTCCCACAGATGGGAAGTAACGAAGTACACTTCGTTACTGTACTCAAGTAGATTATTCTGATATTTTTACTTTACTTTACTACTTATTTTTATGGCGACTTTTTACTTCTACTCCTTACATTTTTACACAAATATCTGTACTTTCTACTCCTTACATTTTAAAAAAATTGTCTCGTTACTTTAGTTTTGAATCATTTCAATGGAGTTACCGTTAATATTTTTCACGTCATCAATACCAAATTCAATCTAATTGGATGGGAATCTATGTTGCATTTGACGCACCACTACAAGATGAATCGACAGATTCGGCAGTATTCATTGGCGGCAAATCATTGCAGCTTGGTGGCGGTGGCGTTAGCATAGTAGTATGGACGACGAGATGATTGAAAATGAACACAACGGAGATCTAGTCCTATTGGCAGACATCCATTTAAAATGTAGGCAACGGCATGAAAAAAGTGGTTTCTACTTTTACTTTTATACTTTAAGTAAATTTACAAGCCTGTACTTTGTTACTTTTACTTGAGTAAAGAAGTTTAATCAGTACTTCCACTTTTACCAGAGTATTTTTTAACACAATTATCTGTACTTTTACTCAAGTACGGAAAGTCAGTACTTTTGCCATCTCTGCTCTCTCCTCACTATCGTCCACCATGCTTGTTTTTCTTCCCGCTTCTGCGCAGCAAGCCACTGAATAGTGACCTTTGTTGCGTATTCACCCTTTATAGCGAAGTATATAGTGAAATATTTTGAAAATCACCATTTCAATCCAATAGTGTTATTGGAATCCAGGACAAGACCTTATAACATAAAAGAAATATGGATATGTTGATGGTAAAAATGAATGGCAATGTAATAACAAGAAACAACAAGTAGCCCAAATATATTAAGAAAAATAACAAAAGTGCTTCTATAAGAAATTCATGAATCGAAACACGTTTTTTTTTGGTCCAACATAACCTTAGAGGCATCAATGCCGATACTGGCACTGACATTTTTTAGTTTATAAACTTAAATATAATTTTTTACTAGGCTTATTAACTTTACTTTTTAACTTTTCAATGAGCTTTTTACCTTTTTTTTCTTGACTTGTTAACTTTTTTTCCAACTTAATTTCCAGTAGGTAATATATCATTCAAGAGCTCCTCTAATTGGTCAAATGCCAAGATAAGATGTACAGCCATGTAGCAGGGCCTTTGCTGAATGGCTGGATATAGATCTTCTGCTTCTAGATCTCACTGAGGGACGGGGGGGACTCCATTTGTAAGGGGGATGCAAGGGATCAAAAGGTCATATGAATGCAAACTGTCCGTTCAGAGACAGGTCTAGGGGTGTAAATAATAATCGTTTTGTATCGATGCGTCGATCCAAAAGCCGACGATCCGATGAATCGATACGTCCGCAAGAGAATCGATTCAGGTTTTTTTCCCTCCGGTCTATTTTTATCCATTTGCTTCTGGGCGTAATTCTCCCTCCCGTGCTGCGGTGCCGCTAAACCTATTTTGCCCTCCTACCTCGCTTCCTGGTTATACTCTTACAGCAGTGTGTTACAGTGAGTTTGACAGACATTCGTGATTTATGCTCAATATTGAAGCGTGGGCCGCACTACACGCTGTGGGTCTAGATATGAGGCGGTGAGGAAGTGCGGGCGAGTTTAGTCCGACGGCCGAGGGACATGAGGGCCAAAAAGAGCGGAGATCCAGGTGGAAAAAGGGTCCCAGCGTTCTCGCGCACCTCGCTCGTCTAGCAGGTCAAACTTCACGAGCTGTTTTCCGCAATTTCGTTCATTGATTTATTTTAAATTTGAAACATTGTCTATCTAGCCTTTAAGGTGTAAAAAAAAAAAAAAATGCACCAATTAATTGAATCATCGTGGTTTATTCTTGAGTATCGAAAATAATTGAATCGTTGGGTCAGGAAACCAATACTGAATTGAATCGCCCTGATGGGTGTGATTTACACCCCTAGGCAGGTCCCATTTGAAACGATCAGACTCTTATCGTATTCAGGACCACGGAGCCAAGTGGCCTGGGTCACATTGAAAAAAAAAATCAGATCTGTGTCGTTCAGACTGTCATGAAAAGATCAGACACAGATTGGATATGGGCCACTTTAGGGTGCTGTGTGGACGTAGCCTTACAGATTACCCCGAAGCTAAGCCTATCCAAGAGCCTTGGACTCCCCCGGGGACGTCCTGGCTCTGCTTTTTAATAATAGTATAGTTTTTAGAGGTGGTCCTTTGTTTATAGTCTCATTGGTTTTCATCAGACCCTCATATTTCAAATACATCAGTTATCCGTAATGATAGATAACCTGATTCAAACTGACTATCTTCTCCTCCTGACCTACAGAGGGAGCCAGAACAGGAGGAGCAACCTGAAGACAACATGCCCCCAAAGTTTAAGCGACACCTCAATGACGATGAGGTCACTGGATCCATCCGCAGCGAGAGGGTGAGAGAAAGATGTAGTGGAAAATGACATGTTTGGTTTCTGGTTTGTCTGGGTAGGGGGTCGGATAAACAAAGAGGGAAGGAAGCAAACATACAAGGTGAAAGAGGAAGGATGTGAAACAAACAGACCTCCTGGTTCAGTTTAAACAATATTGCAGCAAGACACAAACAAGGAAAATATGCTGCAGACCACCAGAGACAAAGGTTTTGAATGAGTGGGTTTAGCGGTTGAGTCTTGAGAAACTCTTGGGGCCAAATATCTGCTCCTCATCAAAGCAATCATCCTGTCCCTCCCTCCTGTACTCTCCTTCACCCTTCCCTTCTTCTTTTGTGTTTTCACCCGGGATCAAAGCTAAGCTTATAGGGGGAATCTTGCATAACAGCGTTCTCTCCTTCCCAGCATTGTCCGTCGTTTTCTCCCTCCGATAATTACTACCAGTTCTCCTCGTCTCCTGTGCTGATGAAAAAAGCAGAGTGAGGTTCCACAGGAGCAGGGTGTTATTGCTCAGACGTATAAAGAGCTTTATGATCATGTGGCCACCATCTTTTCAAACTTCAAACAGATGATCTGCAAAAAAAATAAGACGTGTGTGGAGTAGAGTTTGGCTGTCTGATAAGATCTTACCTTTCTCTACTGTCTGTACAGTTAATGTGTTTAGAAGATGATAATAATTGGCTGCAGCTTCCATAAATGAAATGTTACCGTATTTTCCAGACTATTAGCTGCTACTTTTTTCCCGCGCTTTGAAGCATGCAGCTTATAAGAAGGTGCAGCTTTTCTGTTGATTTTAGCGAACCGACAGAGGGTGAAGTTAAAGTTGGAAATAAAAGAATAAGGGGCTAATTTTCATTTAGCACAAGAACATGCTAGCAGCAGGTCCGACGGAGAAGAAATGTCCCAAATTCACACATTTTGATATTCATTTGCCGCATTAAAGCTGCCGAAAGAGACTGGACTCAACGGCTGCAGAGCTGAAATAAAGAGCCTAAGAGGCCCCATCTTTCAGTAGACGCTCTTACTGCTGCGAGCAGTAAGAGCGTCTACTGAAAGATGGGCCAACAAGCTAACAGGAGCTAGCATTCATCTTCTTCCATGCTCCAGGGGCTATATGTAGAGCTCTCCCAACACGTTTGGTGGGAGACAGCTCAGTAGATATCCTTCCAAAAAGCTAAAGTTAAAAAACAAACCACTGGACCTTGTTTTCCAAGTTTGAATACGTTTCTCTTCCCATCCAGCTTTCTCAATTGAAAATGCCAGCTCCACCCCTTAATAATTGGCTTATTATTGGCGTGCAATACCCGATACAGGCCCATTCCTCTAAAGAGGCAGTCATCAAGTTCAGTAGATATCAGCAGCTTTTAGTCCGGTGCGGCTTATATATGTACATTTCCATTGTTTTCAAATAATTTTCTGGGTGCGGCTTTCAGCGAGGTGCGCTCTATAGTCTGGGAAATACGGTAGTTATTCCGATCATAAAATGAAAAGAAACTCCATCTAAGCAGATTTGAATCTAGACGTCTTCCTTTCACTCAATGAGAAACGGACTCTTATGTCTCCTGTGAGAATTTTATCAGGGTTCCTGCGGGTCCTTAAAAAGTCTTAAAAGGCATTGAATTCTTCAAAATAAAACTAAGGCCTTAATTGGTATTAAAATGTCTTAAATCAGTCTTTCGTAGGTCTTAATTTTTAAAACATCATAAATAGCATTATTTTTATTACGATTTATTTTTGTATTAAAGCTACAGTGTGTAACTTTTAGCGACATCTAGCGGTCAGACTGCAGACTGCAGCAACATGAACATCTCCCCCCCCCACCGCTTCTCCCCCCCAACAGTACGGCGAGCGTTACGGGACAAAATGTCTTCCACGACGTCCGCATCACCTGCCTTCTCAAGTGATGAGGTTTGTTTACATAGATAATTTTACAGATAGTATTTCATTAGTCTGTGTAGGGTATAGATTTCATGTAGACTTAAGATAATAAATATACCCGTTATTTTTTCTACATCGTTGTGACATTTTGGCGATCTCGCAATCACTAGTTTGTTGGCTCTGCGCTGCCGTAGCGCAAAGATGTCTGCCTCCATGGCTGCGAGACCCGCTCCTATGTAATTATAAATAACGAATTCTAAGGCAACGCAAATATTAAGGTTAAGAGGCTGAGCTCGTAGATGATGATAAATAACATAGTTATGTATAATATATTACATTTCTGACTGTATATCCCTGTAATTATTACACACTGTAGCTTTAAAATTGACAATTTTTTATTTATTTATTTTTATAAAAAAAAAAAAAGGCTGGCCATTATTGGTTCCGTCCCGATAGCGGAACTAATAAAGCGTTGTTGCGGGGGGGACATTTGGGAGATGCACCATTAACTTTTTGTCTGGAAAATATGATCAAGTGTAAATGTAACCAAAATTGTCTCCAGCCAAGAGTTTCCTCCATGGCTAAAACCAGGGAACATACATGAGGCTCAGTGGATTTATGCAAGAAGTCATTCAAGCTCAGAACGATGGGAATTAAGGCAGTGGAGTCGCACATGCGAAGCACGAAACACAAAGCGTCAAAATGGAGTTACAGAGAAACAGCCGATATTTCTCAGTTTAGTTCCACCCTTGTCTCTGCAAAACAAAGTTTGTGAATTCAGTTAAATAATTGTTCAAATATATCTGTCATTTGTGTGTTTTTAGCTCACTTCCTGTATGGGAAGCTTTTCAACATTTGAAACATTAGTGCAGTGGTTTATGTTAAAATAAACCTTTGGGTTAAGTTGTCGCAAGCTGGTTTTTCTTGTGTTTCTTGTGAATTTGGTCTTAAATTTTTATTTCAAGTCTTAAAAAGTCTTGAATTTAACTTGCCTTATGCTGTAGAAACCCTGTTTATTACAGCTTTATAGATTTTTCTCTCTATAGGAAAGATAACATACAAGTCGCTTATATTTGTCATGTGAACGACCGTGCAAAGCACTTTTTGTTCTGGTTAAATGGTGCGGAAAGTTCTTTCTTTTTCTTTTTCAGTAGAACAAGCAGCGTCCTGATGATCCCGTGCTTCTTTTTCTGCTGTTCTCTAACCTTGCGTCGATGGAGTGTCAGGATATTGGTTATTTTTGTCATTATAGTTTAAGTTTATTATTAGCTTTGCTTTTAGAGAGCCAACAGATAAAAAGACTCTAGCAGCTGTAAGTGAGGAAGTAGAGGCAGTTTATTTCTGGCAGTCCTGAAACAAAATAATCCACATAAACAGATGTTTATGTGGATTATCTTGTAGGAGCGCAATAAATGCTGTTATTTCTGATTTTTCTTATCAGTCCTCCGGATTGGTCATCTTGATCTTTTCTTTATTTAAGTCTTAATGTTTTCCTTTCTAACAGAGGAACCTGCTGGAGGAGGACTCTGATGAGGAGGAAGACTTTTTCCTGTGAGTCTATTTTCCAAGTTAAAGGGTCTGACAGGGCAGCTGTTTTATAGAAGCGCTATTCAGCGTCTGTTTTGTTTCTCATAATCATAGCAAACCTGAGAAGCTTTGAGAATCTCAGGAAGGCTTTGAACTGCAATGCTAAAAAGGCAAATAGAAAAAAAAAAAGACTAAAACAAACTATAATGAACAAAGTGAGTCAATGAATGAGATGATGCTGTACATAAATATCAACAGCCAGGGGAATAAAGCCTCTAAAGAATACGATATATGTGATGTTTTTAATAAATTCAGTAAGGCATAAAATTATTTTTAATTCTCTAACACTTTATGACAGTGACACAACTCAACCTTAACTGGAACAACATTTGCTTCCCCAGGAGAGGTCCCACAGGCCCCCGATTTGGACCTCAGAATGACAGAGTGAAGCAGTAAGTAGCGGCACACCCCTCACTGCAGCGCCGATCCACAGGTCAGAGTAGAACTTCCACACTTTTTAACGCTCGTTATGTAACCGCGGCTCGACATGTTTACCCCAAATGTTAGGACATTGTGTAAGAGAGGCTATCGTGCAGACTGTGCTTCCATCTCAACCAGCGCTCACAGACAGCCAGAGAACAGAGGAGGTCATTGTTTAGAGCGTCTGGCACGCAGAGCTGTTTCTTCATACCTTGCAGTTTGTCACTGTCGTGCCCACGTGAAATGAGACGCCGTCATTAGCGAGTCCAGGAATGTCGTGTGCAGAAGTTCAGGCTTTTCATGTGTCCTCCTGTCTGAACCTGGACCGTTAAATTCCTCAAGTGTTTGCCACGGCGCCTGTTTTCCTTCGTTCCCCGATTACTGGATGCATTTGTTATTTTTTTCTGTATCCACCTTTGCTTGGAATCACATGGGAAAAAAAAAGAAATCTGGTTTATTTATTTTTTTTCCTATTTTGAATTGAAACCCTTGTAAAAATTAGCTTGATTAAAAGCGGAACTCACAAATATTTAAGGGTTTTTTTTCACAGGAAATCAGGCAAAGTACTACAACTGTTAGCAAACAAAGATTTATAAAAAAAAAAAATTATAATAATAAAAAAATTTGCACTATTACCTAGAATCCAAAGTTTAATTCAATAGTATTTCAGTATAAATGATAAATAACCCAAAACCCTTCATAACCAATTTATAAGTAAACTCAAAGGCTCAATTTATGCCAGCAAAAAACAACCAAAAACATCCCTAATAACTGAAAGTCAAAAACTGTCCGTTCTTTTTATTTCTTATAATAATGTCCAAACAGGAGTTCCATATGCTCCCAATCCAAAGTAAAATCCTGGAAGCGTTTAAGTCCAAAGTCCTTTCCAAAAAGAAAAATCCAAACGACAAACCCCCCAGAAAAGATTAGAAAAAGAGTGGTACCACCAAAAATCCCCAATAAGAAAAATAAGGTCCAGATCTCACCGTAGCGTCTCTCTTTCCTCTGGGCGGCGTCTCCTTGCACCAGGCGGCGTCCTCTGGGTACAAACTCCGATCAGTTTTCTACGTGATCTGCGGTGATCAAACTCTGACTGTGTTTTATCTTTCTTCATTATTTTTTTACTTGTTTTTAACGGACAACCAGACAAAAACTCCCGCTGCACAGACCTGTCAGTGCGCGTCTTCCTCACCTGTTGAGCCGCGCGCCGACGCACACGCCCCTTTTATTAAGAAATTTCTCAACACCAAAATAACCCAGCATATTAAATCCCATCATCATTTTTTAACCAGTGGAGATTTGAAAGAATATTACCAATGACAAAACTGTTCTACAAGACAGTTTGTTATCGCTACTCTTTATTGTACTTTATACAAAAAGAGAAAAATAACATAGTGGTTATGTTACACCCTCATACGTGTAAAAACATCTTTAGACAAAAGCAAAACCAGAGAAGCTTTGCCAAAAAATGACCATAAATCTTTAAAATATGATACATTTTTGTCATCAGTGTACAGTCCCAGGTGGACGAGGTGATCGACGTGATGCAGGAGAACATCTCCAAGGTGATAGAGAGGGGTGAACGTCTGGAAGACCTGCAGGACAAGTCCGGTGAGCTAACATGTGTTCGTGTTTCTTTTTTGGTTTCCATGAACGCAGAACGTTTGTGCTTTCTCTGCTGAACTCCACACAGAGCGCATAACATTTACTTTGCAGTTATAGCTCTCAGGCCCTGATAGCCCTCAGCATTATCGTCTGCTAATCGGACCGCCACTTTTAGCAATGTGCTTCCAATTTAAAAGGAAAACACTTCATAATGAGGCGTATTCTCTGGCAAAAAATCCTTCAAATAGCAGGAAGTGAAAGGTTGGACGTTACAGCTACTGCTAAAGATACTTTATCGGCCCGTTTAGGTTCACTTCATGGTTTGAATCCTGACCTTGACATCTATGTGTAGAATAGACAAATTGTTAATAGAATGCATCAGAGATGTTGATCTATAACCAGAGGTGTTCAGTAACAAAGTACAAATACTTAAGTATTTTTAAGTTTTTTTTTTTTTTCTTAAGTAGAAATGCTGGCTATTTATCCTTTACTGGAGTAATTGTTTTCTAGAAAGTCTTTAACTTCTTCTGCTTACATTTTTTTGCAATTATCTCTACTTTCTACTCCTTACATTTTAAAAATAGATTCGTTAGTTTTGTTAAATTATAGCTCAATCGTTCGTCCTGTTCGTATTTGTTATCAAAATACGGTGTTACAAAATATTCAGCATTTAAAATTTTGTGCACAAAAAAAGGCGGATTCCAATAAGACTTCAAATAAAAACGTTCCTTTAACAGGATAGTGCAGAAAAGCGTCTTACTTAAAAAAAAGATTCTGCATTACTTTCACTTTGTCCTTTAAGTAGTTTTTAAAAATGGTACTTTTACACCTTTACTGGAATAAAAAGCTTAAGTCGATACTCTAAACCAGGGGTCACCAACGCGGTGCCCTCAAGGACCACATGGGGGGCCCTCAGAGTCTTCTAAATAAAGAACAACCCACCAGTGGGCTAAGTTTGAAATTTTATTTTATTCTGTTGCTCTTCTTTTTAATCATTTTAGAGAGATTTCAAAATGACAATGTCTAAATAAACTTAGAAATGAACACAAACAATAAAAATATGTTGATAATGAACAAAGTTTAGGCTAACGCTAACCCTTGCAGCTCATGGGTCAGTAATGGTCGCCCTTCCTACGTCTCGGTACCCTTGAAGTGGCCCTCAGCCTTAAAAAGGTTGGTGACCCCTGCTCTAAACAGTAGGATTTATACTTCTACTTGAGTAATAAACATTATTACTTGTGACACCCCTGCATATAAGTGGTGTCAGATAGGTGAGTTCTAAAATGGATTAATCGACTCTCAAACTGTATGCTACACAAACATCAACATTAATACTGACCCTGCTGTCATTTTAAGCTTTGGATCTTATTGTTTTTAAGGCTATTTAAACAGAATGAGCAAGTTCTCTATTTGCATTGAGTCTAACTTGCTAAAAGAGGTGAACAAATGGAACATCTTTAATGATAAACTTATTAAAAACTTTTAGTTTTAGCCCCACAATGTGGCCTGTAGTGGTTCAGCTGTGAGGTCAACTCAAATTGACCAAAATAATGATATTTTTGTTGAGCTTCTAGCCGGCGTCATAAAGTGAAAGTCCACCCCAGAAAAAACTCCTTGTTTTTTATGAGTGAGAGCAGAACGTTTCTTTAGGAGGGAATTTAAGTCCTAATGAGGTAAAGTGTGACGTTTTTGTGAGGTGTCTGCATTGGAATATGGTCCAATGATTACAAAACATTATTTCTTCTTAATAACGCTTTATTGGTAGTTATTACGTGGAAAACATTTTTCCTTTTTAAACATCATTACTCATTCTGAGGCATTTACTCATATGGAAAAGAGTAAAGTGTTTTCTGAAGGTTTGCAGAGTTGAAACAGAGTGCAGGGCAGAGTGGGAACAGACTGTGCTGCTTTATGGTTGGAGAAGCAGAAGGAAGAAATGGAAAGCGGAATGTATAAATAGCTTTTATGCGAACAAATGCAAACATTGTCAGATGAAATTAGGACGGGTCCTTTAACGCTGACAAAAGAAGTACATAAATATTTACTTCTAAAGTACTTTTCAAAACACACATTACAGAGAGTCCAAAACCAATTTAAAATCTGTCATAAAATAAGATTGAAAATCAGAATCAAACACGGTTAAGTCAAAGAGAACACCCTTTAGGAAATTAAAGTCTTTAATAATTTAAGGGGAAGATTGTTTAATACAAAAAAGTGAGAATTAGTTAGAATTAGAAGACTGAAATATGAACAGCAACCTGCAGAGTTACATAAAAACAGTAGATCTTTAGGCAGAGTTTGTTTCTTTTTTGTACAATTTCTAATTTCATGGCTTAAACAGGAATAGAACGAATCAAAGTAGTCGAGGCGTAATGGACCCACAGCATAAAACATTAACACTGAAAAACGAGCCACATTGTTTTGTTTTCCAAGAGTCATACTGTTACTGATCTCTGCTAAACTGGTATGCAGAGGTTATGGTATGCTATGTATGGCCTAAAAATAACTATAATAAAAATAATAAAATAAAAATAAACGGGCCATCATGTCTTTAGCAATGCACGGGGCATCTAACTACCACGGTATTGGCAGCCGTGCTTCTGTTAACAACCAGCTTCTTCCAAAAAAGTTAGAAAACAAATCACTGGACTTTGTTTTCCAAGTTTGAAGAATTTTCGCCTCCCATCCAGGAAGTTTTCTCAATTCAAAAGTCTGGAGTAGCGTTAAGTTGATAGCGGGAAGGAATCAACTCTAACGCAGAAAGCTGCGATAGAGTTGATTCCTTCCCGCTATCATCTCAATCCTCATCCCCATGTAGCGGATCAAAACATCTTGCCTGTTTAACCAGGCCGATAACAACCCAATCCACTGCCCATTAATAAGCAGTGGACATGTTTTTCAGTTCAATTTGCACGTTTTCTAAGCTATAAGAAGGCTTTTGTAGGGCTATTTTATAAGCCTGGAACTTTTTTGAATGACTTTGACCTGGATGACTGAGAATCTTCACAGACAGCTAGCTTGTTAGCCTTTTCTGACCTTTTTAAAATATGCCTTTCAATACCCAGCCCCATTTCTTCTAACACAACCGCACACACACCCTCCCTTGGCGGGAACCTTGTGTATTCTCTGTCGTTTCTGCTATCTTGGCTGCGGCTCGTTCATCTACAGTACTAGCCATTCAATATTTCCCCACTTTCCTTGATGGGTCCTTGGCCGGTTCCCCAAGTTTCCTTTTTTAAACATCAATCTGGATTTGTGGACAATAAGATCTAAAGAGCAGCATCATCTCCTGGTCAGAGCCTGTAATTCAGTGAAAGGATGGAGTCTGAGTATAAAAATGTGCAAGAGGGGGGCACTGCAGTGGCTGGAAGGGGGCTGCCATTCAGCTGGCGTTTGACTGGGCTCCCGCTCCCTTCCTCCATCCTCCTTCTAAATTTGTGTTTAGGTATTAATGCGTTCTGATAAGCACCAAAAGACACGTCATCATAGCAGTCAGAGTTATCAGTGGTGTTGCCATGAAAATCAGGTTCATAAGTTTTATTTTCCCCTCCTGAAAAAAACAAATCCCCACCAGCAGTTGCCGGACGCCAGAAATCCACCACTACGCCGAAGTTCTTTAAGCGCTGCCGTTCCAAACAGATGATTTTATTATTTTTTTGAGAACAAGCTTCTCATTCACCTTTTGCTATGATGTCGTTAGCTGTTGTGTGCGATGCTGCCACTAGCCAAACTGCAACCTGAGAGGAATACTACAGCTACCAAAACTCCGGGGAGCCAAAAATGCACCATTATTAAAAAAAATTATTTCATTTTTTTTAAATTTAAAACAAAAGAAATCTAAATTATTCATTTAATCTTTATTTTTTTTGCCCAGGCCTATCTGGCATATGTAAATCTATATGCAAGTCTGCAGGGGTTGATAATGTTTGATAAATATAGTTCCTAATATTCATTTTGTATATTTATATCAATGAAACATGTTTGTTTTTTAAATGTTTTTCGGATGTTTAGTGAATGGATGAGGATGGGTGGTGGATAAAGAGGATCTCCGATGCTAAGTGGGTGGTGGGTGAAATGGGTAGAGGGTAAAATAGGTGAAGGGTGTGTTACTGTACTTACATTTTTTTGCCTTGTTGTTTTTTTAGCCTGCCAAGTCGAAAAAAATGTGTCTGATTCGCGCCAATTCCCGGACAAAAATTGCACCATCTGGTAGAAAATCACGCGGCTTTTTCAAATCACGGGAGAATCTGTAAAAAAAAAACAAAAATGGCGCCGGCAACGCTTTTGGGTCGTTTTCTTCAAATGTAGGTGATTTTTGAGTAATTATGCGAATAAAATGATACAGAAACACGAGTACAATAGAGTTTTCTAGCTTGTTTGTCGTTTTGGTGACTACATCAAAATTACCGCTAGGTAGACAAAAATCACGCCATCTCGCGAAAAATCACGGATTTTTTTCTGGAGGCATTTTCAAATCACTCGAGAGTGTGTACAAAACAACAAAAATGGCGCCGGCAACGCTTTTGGGTCGTTTTCTTCGAATGTAGGTGATTTTTGAGTAATTATGCGAATAAAATGATACAGAAACACGAGTACAATAGAGTTTTCTAGCTTGTTTGTCGTTTTGGTAACTACATCAAAATTACCGCTAGGTAGACAAAAATCACGCCATCTCGCGAAAAATCACGGCTTTTTTTCTGGAGGCATTTTCAAATCACTCGAGAGTGTGTACAAAACAACAAAAATGGCGCCGGCAACGCTTTTGGGGCGTTTTCTTCGAATGTAGGTGATTTTTGAGTAATTATGCGAATAAAATGATACAGAAACACGAGTACAATAGCGTTTTCTAGCTTGTTTGTCGTTTTGGTGATTACATCAAAATTACCGCTAGGTAGACAAAAATCACGCCATCTCGCGAAAAATCACGGGTTTTTTTCTGGAGGCATTTTCAAATCACTCGAGAGTGTGTACAAAACAACAAAAATGGCGCCGGCAACGCTTTTGGGTCGTTTTCTTCGAATGTAGGTGATTTTTGAGAAATTATGCGAATAAAATGATACAGAAACACGAGTACAAAAGTGTTTTCTAGCTTGTTTGTCGTTTTGGTGACTACATCAAAATTACCGCTAGGTAGACAAAAATCACGCCATCTCGCGAAAAATCACGGCTTTTTTTCTGGAGGCTTTTTCAAATCACTCGAGAGTGTGTACAAAACAACAAAAATGGCGCCGGCAACACTTTTGGGTCGTTTTCTTCGAATGTAGGTGATTTTTGAGTAATTATGCGAATAAAATGATACAGAAACACGAGTACAATAGTGTTTTCTAGCTTGTTTGTCGTTTTGGTGACTACATCAAAATTACCGCTAGGTAGACAAAAATCACGCCATCTCGCGAAAAATCACGGCTTTTTTTCTGGAGGCTTTTTCAAATCACTCGAGAGTGTGTACAAAACAACAAAAATGGCGCCGGCAACGCTTTTGGGTCGTTTTCATCGAATGTCGGTGATTTTTGAGTAATTATGCGAATAAAATGATACAGAAACACGAGTACAATAGCGTTTTCTAGCTTGTTTGTCGTTTTGGTGACTACATCAAAATTACCGCTAGGTAGACAAAAATCGCGCCATCTCGAGAAAAATCACGGCTTTTTTTCTGGAGGCATTTTCAAATCACTCGAGAGTGTGTACAAAACAACAAAAATGGCGCCGGCAACGCTTTTGGGATGTTTTCTTCGAATGTAGGTGATTTTTGAGTAATTATGCGAATAAAATGATACAGAAACACGAGTACAATAGCGTTTTCTAGCTTGTTTGTCGTTTTGGTGACTGCATCAAAATTACCGCTAGGTAGACAAAAATCACGCCATCTCGCGAAAAATCACGGCTTTTTTTCTGGAGGCTTTTTCAAATCACTCGAGAGTGTGTACAAAACAACAAAAATGGCGCCGCCAACGCTTTTGGGTCGTTTTCTTCGAATGTAGGTGCTTTTTGAGTAATTATGCGAATAAAATGATACAGAAACACGAGTACAATAGTGTTTTCTAGCTTGTTTGTCGTTTTGGTGACTACATCAGAATTACCGCTAGGTAGACAAAAATCACGCCATCTCGCGAAAAATCACAGCTTTTTTTCTGGAGGCTTTTTCAAATCACTCGAGAGTGTGTACAAAACAACAAAAATGGCGCCGGCAACGCTTTTGGGTCGTTTTCTTCGAATGTAGGTGATTTTTGAGTAATTATGCGAATAAAATGATACAGAAACACGAGTACAATAGTGTTTTCTAGCTTGTTTGTCGTTTTGGTGACTACATCAAAATTACCGCTAGGTAGACAAAAATCACGCCATCTCGCGAAAAATCACGGCTTTTTTTCTGGAGGCTTTTTCAAATCACTCGAGAGTGTGTACAAAACAACAAAAATGGCGCCGGCAACGCTTCTGGGTCATTTTCATCGAATGTCGGTGATTTTAAAGTAATTCTGAGGGATAAATAATTATTTTTTTTTGCGATCATTGCACTTGTCCGGCGGGCAAATGCAATGAAATTTGTACTCTCCCAACAATAAAAACTACTTGTCCCGGGAGATCGGGCGATGGTTAACATAGCAGCAGGGGGAAGAAAACAGCAACATCTTTGCAAGATGCAAACAAAGGCAAGTGGAGAGAAAAATCCACAGGTCCAACTATAGAGCCCTGAGGCGCGCCACAGTTGTCATGTCAAGCTGTATATCAGCAGGTAATACTTAGTGAAATAGCATGACATGATCAAAGGCATCACAAGTAGATCCAGATCCAACAGAACTAATACAGCGACCTCAGTACTGCGCAGCTTAAAGACGTGCTATTAAAGCTGTAAATGAGTTCAGCATGAGCTCTTAAATAAGGCAGTGAACAGGTGTGGGTTTGTGGATGAGGTGAGTGTGAATGTCGAGGCTGGGATTTCTTTCAAAAAGGTGTTAGTGCGTCGTGAGGAAGTCCCACTTCATCAGCTCTATTTTCTGATTAGAAATGTTCATTAGTGTCATAAAGACAGCGATTAATCAGCAGAACCATTTTCCATGGTCCATTAAAGACATTTCTCCTTGGAGTGATTAATTTCCTCTGTGTAAACACATCCGTCCACTCTGTGTTCTGAGTGATTTCCCGGCTGCGCATCTGAAAACCTTTAACAACTGACTTTGCTCCATTAAACAACATTTACACAGCATGGAGGCTCCAAACAAAGCTCAGTACTTTGACTTGTCTGCTGATAAAGACAACCTGCCAGAACAAAGAGGCACATCTGGACCATATTTTTTCTCTGTGTTCTTTGGTTGTTTATGGGGACACTTTTGTGACCGCATATTATCCCTAAGAGCTGTCTTTATGTGGACAACACCATGCTCTCTGACTGACAGCTCGTCTCTCCCCCTCGAGCCGCTGGCAGGCAACCCGTTGTTAAATTCCTCAGGATTAACGAGCATCTTCCCAGAAGCCCTGTCTGGGCGTGTCTCTTTGTAGTAGCGCCTGGTCGTAAACAGGCCGGTGAAGATGGAAACAGCAGACACAAAGAGGGGCTGAGTTGGCATACGTTAACAACGGTGTGTCAGAAAGAGAAGGCAACGCGTGGGCGAGCTGGTAGAGGGGAGATGTTAGAATGAGGACAGGAGGGAGGAAGGTGAGCGGAAAGTCTCTGTTTTGGAAATGTAGGAGTCCTTGCCAACGCCTAGAAAAGTATTTAAATCTACTCAGTCGCTCTATCTTAAAAGTGAAGTGAAACCTGCTTGTTTGTTTGACTGACAAATGTCCAATTGTGTCTATTCCCCTGCTTTCACATGGAGCAGAGAGCTTGTCGGACCACGCGTCGGCGTTCAGCAGCCGGGCCAAGCAGCTGCACAGGAGGATGTGGTGGAGAGACATGAAGGTGGGACGTCTGTCTGTTCTCAGAAAACCTGCAAATCAGAGCATGAGACAAGACCCAATCACACACCCAGTGCCTTGAAAAGGAGTCAAACCTTTCCACACTTTGCAGCATTACGGCCACAAACTTTACTGGAATAACAAGTGTGGAGTACATTTGAATGTAGGCCCACTAAACTCAGATACTCCTGAATTTAAATCCTGCACAACCAACGACTTTTAGAGGTAAAAACCAAAGAAACCAGCCCTATTCAGACAGGTCAAGATTGAAAAATCTCCCAAATTAATCAGTCCAAAATATAAAGCAGCCATTCAGGGCTCTGACATGCTGGACAGGAGAGCATTGATCAGATGAGTAGCATGCAGAGGAACTGCTCCAGTCACTCCATAGTGAGCCACGGTGGTGGCAGCAGCATGATCTGGGGAGTATGTTGCTAGGCTTAAAAGCTGTAATTTTCTAATTAAATGTGTTGAATGCAGGACTTTCCTATAAAAAACAGCCCACAGTTTTCAAAAAGTACCGTATTTTCCCGAATATAAGCCACTACTTTTTTCCAACTCTTTGAACCATGCAGCTTATAAGAAGGTGTGGCTTTTCTGTGGATATTTCCTAACACCCAGAGGGGGAAGTGAAAGTTGGAAACGAAAGAATAAGGTGCTAATGTTCATTTAGATTAGATTAGATGAGCTTTATTGATCTCACAGCAGAGAAGTTCACTAGTCACATATTGGCATAGTAAATAAAGAAGGTGCAAACAAGGAGGAAAAAGGTGCTCCGCTCTGAGTTCCTTGGAGATGGTAGAGAGCATGCGCCAGATGATTAAATTCAAAGCAGCAAAACATACGGAGATGATCCAGGGTTTCCACGGATCATTTAAAATAATTACAATCCATTATTTTTGGGGGGATTTTTTCATTAATTCCATAAATTTTTATGGGATTTTTATGGGTGTAAGAATCAACATGTATCGAACCGAACCGAAAACCGTGACCAGAAACCGTGAATCGAACCGAACTGTGGATTTTGTGAATCGTTCCACCCCTAATATACAGTATATATATACAGCACAAGAGCATGCTAGCAGCAGGCACGATGGAGAACTAATGTCCCGAATTCACACATTTTGACTTTTATTTGCTGCCTTAAAGCTGCCGAACCGATGAAGGGACTGGGCTCAACTCCTGCAGAGCTGAAATAAAAAGCAGACATTGCAGTAGAAGCTCTTACTGCTGTAAGCTAACAAGCTAACGGGAACTAGCATTCTTCTTCTTCTTCCCTTCTCCAAGGGCTACATGTAGAGCTCCCTCTACAGGTTCGGTAGGAGACAGTTCAACGGCTTTTAACCTGGTGTGGCTTATATATATATATATATATATATATATATATATATATATATATATATATATATATATATATATATATATATATATATATACACTATATTGCCAAAAGTATTTGCTCACCTGCCTTGACTCACATATGAGCTTAAGTGACATCCCGTTCCTAATCCATAGGGTTCAATATGACGTCGGTCCACCCTTTGCAGCTAGAACAGCTTCAACTCTTCTGGGAAGGCTGTCCACAAGGTTTAGGAGTGTGTTTATGGGAATTTTGGACCATTCTTCCAGAAGCGCATTTGTGAGGTCGCACACTGATGTTGGACGAGAAGGCCTGGCTCTCAGTCTCCGCTCTAATTCATCCCAAAGGTGTTCTATCGGGTTGAGGTCAGGACTCTGTGCAGGCCAGTCAAGTTCATCCACACCAGACTCTGTCATCCATGTCTTTATGGACCTTGCTTTGTGCACTGGTGCACAGTCATGTTGGAAGAGGAAGGGGCCAGCTCCAAACTGTTCCCACAAAGTTGGGAGCATGGAATTGTCCAAAATGTCTTGGTATGCTGAAGCATTCAGAGTTCCTTTCACTGGAACTAAGGGGCCAAGCCCAGCTCCTGAAAAACAACCCCACACCATAATCCCCCCTCCACCAAACTTTACACTTGGCACAATGCAGTCAGACAAGTACCGTTCTCCTGGCAACCGCCAAACCCAGACCCGTCCATCAGATTGCCAGATGGAGAAGCGCGATTCGTCACTCCAGAGAACGCGTCTCCACTGCTCTAGAGTCCAGTGGCGGCGTGCTTTACACCACCGCATCCGACGCTTTGCATTGCACTTGGTGATGTATGGCTTGGATGCAGCTGCTCGACCATGGAAACCCATTCCATGAAGCTCTCTGCGCACTGTTCTTGAGCTAATCTGAAGGCCACATGAAGTTTGGAGGTCTGTAGTGATTGACTCTGCAGAAAGTTGGCGACCTCTTCGCACTATGCGCTTCAGCATCCGCTGACCCCGCTCCGTCAGTTTACGTGGCCTACCACTTCGTGGCTGAGTTGCTGTCGTTCCCAAACACTTCCATTTTCTTATAATACAGCTGACAGTTGACTGTGGAATATTTAGGAGCGAGGAAATTTCACGACTGGATTTGTTGCACAGGTGGCATCCTATCACAGTTCCACGCTGGAATTCACTGAGCTCCTGAGAGCGACCCATTCTTTCACAAATGTTTGTAAAAACAGTCTGCATGCCTAGGTGCTTGAATTTATACACCTGTGGCCATGGAAGTGATTGGAACACCTGATTCCAATAATTTGGATGGGTGAGCAAATACTTTTGGCAATATAGTGTATGTGTCACAGCTCCTCTATTAGCCATCCCGTCATGCACAGATCGGATGCCAGACAGTTTTTTTTTTTTTTAAGATTTAATGTAATTGTCGCTACCCGATCCGTACCATCAGCTCATTTGTGCCTGCGCGAACAGAATAACTTCCGGGTCGCCAAAAAAATAATGTAATTACGGTACTGAAAAAAACTTTATTTATATCTTTAAATAAATAAAGAATACTAAACTACATCATAAAGACATTATTGAAGAGTTTTCTGGAAGAAATGGATGCTTTTTAAATTCAATCCATTGTATTGCTTGACGTCGTCATCAGACATGCTAAGAGCAGTCTGGGAATATATTATGAAAATCTGCAGGTCACGAAAGGTAGCAAATGAATCCATTGTGGGATCAGTACTGCTGGAGTGCATAGTTAAGGACAGAGTAAATCAAATATTTAAACAAATTTAAATATATACGCTGTGTGACGTATATTTGCGCATGCTCAGAGCAGTCAAAGTAACTATCACAAGGCGATTGAACTTTTTTATGTATTTCTGTTTTTTATTTTTAGAAAATGCAATATCGACGAAAATACAAAGATATACAAAAAGAAACCCATGCCTCCAAAAAATACAAAAGAATACAAAAGTAAGAAAAAGGAAATATTGCCACCGGAAGTTATTCTGTTCGCGCACGCGCAAAGGAGCTGATGATACGGATCGGGTAATGACAGTAATGAATGGTAGAGAAAAACAAATACTCTGGTTAGCCTCCCCTCTGGTTCACCAACAGCTGGAATGCAATAAAAACTAAAAAAGTAAAAGTATATATGTATATTAATGTAGGTTTCCAGTTTAAAAAAGTGGGCATGGATTATAGTGAGGTGCGCTCTATAGTCTGGAAAATACGATATTTATTTGTTTAAATAAAAAGTACAAGGAAACAAGTATGGAGACTTCATCAAGCCACTGTGTGCTTTTGGTTTTGTCCATGGGATGTTTGGACAGGAATGTTTTAGTTTTCTCATTATTTTAATTCCTCAACAGATGAAGATGATTATTGCGCTGGTAGTCGTTGCTCTGCTGCTGATCATTATCGGTGAGTACTGGATGTCCTTTGCGATTAAAATCAGCTTTCATTTACAGAGACGTAGTATTCCCTCTGACTTTATTTTCTGTTTTTCAGTCCCAATAATCCTTCGATATCGTTAGCGACTGATGAATTCCATCTGCATCCTCCCATCTGGCACCCAGTCCCAGCGGGCCCCGGGACGCCGTCCACACTGTCTTCAGAGTTCCTTCACCCTCAGGCCTTCTTTTAGCCGTTAGTTCAGATCTTTCATCATATCTAGATGTGAGATCAGTTCTAAGGCTCGGTTTGATCCCTGCTTGATGAAGCTAAGAGAAAACAGAAGCATTGACTTTTTGGCTTGGGTTTAATATCTTTAACGTCTCAGATCAAACCTTCAACACCGGGAAGATCCAACAGTCTGTCTTATTGATCTCCTGTAAATCTGCTGCAGCAGCTTCATATAGAGGCTGTAACCTCCAGCAGATGAGCCTCTGGTGTTTTCTCATGACTCCCCACATCTGAATCTCCATCATCAACAGGAGCAATGGTTTAGAGGGAACACCTTTCTAGTAAAAGCACATTTTTTACATTCTCTCCCGTTTGAGAAAACATCAGAGCCTCATCTGTGTTTTTTTTTTCTTTTTGTATCATAAGACTTCTTTTTAAATAAAAAATAGATCAGTCCTCTAAAGGGAAGATTCCTTTAGAGGAAGAGGACAGACTTTTTACTTTCCCATGCGATGATCTGGTTGTAGAGAAAGAACCATGTGAAACCAAACCAGCCGGATTCTGAATGTCTGCTTAAACTTCTTACTTCCTGCAGGAACCTGCTCTTCTCTGGGCTGCTTTGGTCGCCTGTTCATTTATTTTTAAACTCCCGGCTCTGTAAATGGTTCTTTTATGTTTTTTTTTTATTGTCGTTTTCTTTTCTCTAAACTGGAGTTATTATTATTGCTTTCTCTGTATGAACGCTGGTATTTGCTACTGAGGGAACAGTTGATCTCTGTACTGTAACGACTGGAAAGGAAGGTCCTATGTAACATGAATGCAAACCATAAGTGTAGTTGTGACTGGTTACGGTCTCCATGGTAACTTTGATTGTGTAATTTATTTCAGCTGTACATACTGACTGTAAGGATAATGTACAGTACTGTGTGGCATTGCATTGGAAGACAGTGACTCTTTTTGCTCTGAAGTAAAGTCGTATTAAAGGGCGCTTGTCTGGTTTGAGCTGGATGACTGAAACAGAAGCGTCAGTAGACTAAACGGTGTCCAGGAATGGAGAAAAAACAAAACCCAAAACAGTCGTGGTGCCATCCCTAAAGTTTTAAGCACAGGTTGAGTGTCCGCCCGCTTGCAGAGCTGGCTTTTATCTCCTCTCATTTATCCAACTGTTTAACTGGCTCATGACTTTCCTGGCATTGTGGAGTCCCCAGATGGCATTAAAGGCGGAGGGGCCTGGAGCCCATGAAGCCTTATTACTCTGACAGACCCTGGCCTTTCTTCCTCCCAACACCAAAGGCAGGAACACACGCCGGCCCCTCTGCCCCGCATCGTGCCAGAACCACCAAACCCACCGCAGGAACGGACACTGAATAGGCCCCTGAGGGTCAATTAGCTTTGTTGATGTATGGCAGGGGTCACATCTGGTACTGATGCAACCAGCAGGGGTGACGGCTGCGTTTCCGCTCTGAAGTTAAGGTTGTAATTCCAGCTAATACACATTGTTTGGATGTTTATTAAAGCGGGCATGAAAACCCTGCTCAGAAGTCCTGGTTGGACCAGCGCCTATAAATCACCAAGCTTTAGAAGGTCGTAGGTCAAAACGACTAAAGTCAAGTAGGCAGAGCTTCCTTTTCTAAGGTTTATGCAGTGGAACATGTTCTGATCCACCAGGTCCTGAAGACCAGCAGATTAGATGAGTGTAGACAGAGAAATAATCTGATTAAATCAGATTAAAGATTTAATTAGATTTCTTCTTCACATCCTGTGGGTTTGTTTGCACATATTGCCCAGAATACTTACAAGTGTCTCTGATTAAATAAAAGAACAAACAATTTAAGCTTTGTATAAATGTCAAAAATGTTAGATTAATACCTGGTGGGCTTGTTTGTAGAAATGCCAAGACACCTCTGCTGAGCTTTTGATTTTTCAGATCTGCGTTCCGTTAGATGGAGATCCTGGACGCAAGCAGATAAAATCATCTAAGTAGGACGGTTCAGAAGCTCACAGGAGCATCACGCCAGAGAGACGTTTGAGATGCGGCGGTCTTCGGTGACCTACCTTTAGAGGTTTTCCAGCATATTCCAACTGTAAGGAGACCCTAGACCTACTGGAGGGACCATATAGTCCATATAGTCTGTTCTGGAAACACCTTCAAATCCCACAGAATGACCAAGTGGGGGGGGGGGGGGTTGTTACCAGTTTTACATGTGGTCAATAATGCCAAACCTGACAGACGGCAGAAAGAACAGCAGTAGAAATGAGAGATCCTTTAGACAAAAAGAGAAAACCAACAAAACCATCCAGCAGCTACTACGTCTGTTAACAAAAACAAACTGATCCTTGTGGGCGTTCCAGGTGGAGAATCTATAGGAGCTCCTGCTAAACACATGACACAGGGAAAACAAAGCAACAACATTGGTAGCAGAGACACTATGTGAGCTTCTCAGAATTGTGCAGCAGAGCTTATGGAGCCGTATGTCCGAGGAACTGACACTGCGCGCGTGAAAGAATGAGCACCCGCTGCCCTGCTTTCCCAGATTGTACTCAGTTATGGTGATGAGGGGCCACCAGCCGAAGCCCACACCCTCCTCCAGCTCTCCAAAGAGGGCAGATTGCACCCCTAGACCCGGTCCCCCAGCAGCCACCTGAGCACAAATCATAGGGAGACCACAACAGAGACAACCGGACACCAACCGAGAAGGCAACCAGAGGAGCCCTCCACCACCATGGGCAGAGCCCCCCCAGGGACCATAAGCAACAGCAAACCAGCCCCCATCAGGGCCTGTCCCCCAGACACAGGCCAAGAACTACAGCCCTTCTTTAAGTAGGATAACGACTCAAAAGGTTCGAAGGATTTTAAACAGATTTTCTTGATTCTGAATCGAGCCATGAGCTACCATCTTTCATAGCCATCTCAATCTCTAGACCTAAACCAACAGAAAAGCTTTAAAGTACCTGGAGAGAAGATCCAAAATCCATTTTCCAAAATCCACTGATTTTTAAATTTTATTTCAGTTTAACATGGGGAAAAAAAAGTCCGAATTCTGACTTTAATCTCAGAATTCTGACTTTTTTCTCAGAATTCTGACTTTAATCTCAGAATTCTGACTTTTTTCTCAGAATTCTGACTTTAATCTCAGAATTCTGACTTTAATCTCATAATTTGACTTTTTTCTCAGAATTCTGACTTTAATCTCAGAATTCTGACTTTAATCTCATAATTTGACTTTTTTCTCAGAATTCTGACTTTAATCTCAGAATTCTGACTTTAATCTCAGAATTCTGGCTTTAATCTCAGAATTTGAACTTTAATCTCAGAATTCTGACTTTAATCTCAGAATTTGAACTTTAATCTCAGAATTCTGACTTTCTTTCTCAAAATTCTGACTTTTTTCTCAGAATTTTGGATCTTAATGTAGATGGGCACCATGAAGGCAGAGATGTGGAGCACTCAGCTTCACTGACAAAGATGTGAGTTGTTTGAGGTTGCCAGTGACACATAGGTGGAAAATGAGGGAATTAGGCAACTTTTTACATGTCCGAGGGGTCCCCTCATTAATGGAGGAGCAGAAGGTCATTAAAACAAAAGAGCTAGTCTCTAAAACAGACATGGCTATGGCTTGATGCTAACATGTTTGTTAGCTGTCAGAACTCTGAGATTAAAGTCAGAATTCTGAGAAAAAAGTCCTAATTCTGACTTTTTTCCCATATTAAACTGAAATAAAATTTAAAAATCAATTAACTTTTTTTTTTTTTCAGTGGCCCTAATCCTCTTCCGTATTGTTTTAAGACGATTGCTGATTTGATTTTGAATCATCCCTGAAAGCTACAGACCTCTAAGCTCCAAACACCTCTGACCACCAGCAGATCTTTATTTTATAAACTCCTCATAAACTCATGACTCCTGCTATCCTCCAATTTCCTTTGGCAACATTCAGTATGTACTTAGTTTTTCCTTTCCCTCTCTCTGAATGTTTGCTCATTTTTTTAAATTAAATAAAAACAGCGTAACATATCATGTGTAATTGGTCATTAGAGGTTTTATTTACCTAATTTGAAGAACTGCTGTGGGTCAGATTTTTCTTTCCATAAAACCCTTTGAAATAATAGAACCCTTAGCTTTAACATTGGTTATTGAAAGAGCAGAGAGTAAAGTGAATTCAGCCTGCTTCGGGTGGCTGATTTTACTACGGCACACAAATGAGACAGTCTTTTCCTTTTTCCCTTCAAAAACACTCCCACACTGGCAGCAGAGGATGTTTTGATCCTCCGGCGAGGACTCATGGTGGATGACCTCAGATGCCGGGCATAGTGATGGTTATATGAGTCGCATAAAACTGAGTCAATTTAACAAGATGGGAGACTGGACAATGTGCCAAGCAGAATAAGACAGTCTGGCCAAACACTGAAACACCCATATACAAGTTACGCATTTCACAGTCCAGTCGACAGAAAAGTAGTAAAGATATAAACATGCTTATTCTCTATTGATACCATAAAGCGGGGAGAGCAGCAAGAAAAGTAGCTCAGACGTCCAGAATGGGCCCACTGTGTGAGCTTTCTAAAAAAAAAAAAAATACTCTGCTTCAGGCGGGTCAATAAACTGCATTAAGCAAATAAAACAATTAAATTCAGTTTATTTATATATTAGCAATTCACAACACGTGATCTCAAAGCACTTCACTTTTAACAGGAATAAACCTCCAGCAGAACCAGGTTCAGTGTGAGCGGCCATCTGCTGAGGCCCACTGGGGTTCAAGGAGAAGGAAGCAGACATAGAAAAAGAAGCATAGACTGCCAGTTAGTCACAGTTAGACTGCTGGAGGACATAGGGACCCCTTTTTCATCATTCTATCTCTATTCTCCCACTCTGCAGAATCTGTTAGTTCAATCTCTAACGTTCTGCTCTCTCTGCTTTTTCTCATAGTAGCTTCATCTGGTCTGTTCCTGTTTGGCTGTGACTCCATCCTGGAGAGAAATATCAGCTGTGCTGCTGCCATCAACACCTTTGTTTCTAGATGTTGGAGCTTGGCCTGTTTTTCAGTGTAGACCTGTTTCTCTGCAAATTAAACTCTACAAGTGCCACTTCCATATTACCATTTCCTGTGTAAACAGCCATCCAATGCATATGTGATGACAGTATTAATATTCCTAAAATAGTGTTTAGTTTAGAGATATATATTTAGAGATGGTAAAAACCTACTTTGAACCAAGTTCTGCCTTCATCTACTTGGAAGATTTAATCTTAATTTCTACAAACTGAAGATTTCAAGGGGGTTTGTCACTTCAGGTAAAAAGGCCTTATTTGGAGGGATCCATAAAGACCAGATGATGGATAAACTTTAAGCTATCTGATCAGTCCAAACGGAGCCTGAAACGTCCCACTGAAGATGCTGTGTCATGGTTTGGTGTTGCTTTAGTTCGTCATTCACTGGCCAAAAAACAACCTAATAAATGGATACATTCTGATTTTACAAAGCAGTCATTTCACCTGAGCATCGGTAACTACAGCGATTTAACTTTAATCTAAAACTTTAAACTTTTTTCTCATCAATAAATAGAATTTTAAAGAACATCCAGTGAAAGGAGGTCGTTGCTCGTTCTTTTGTATCATCATTGCAATGTCATTCATTTGATCTGTTCATTAACAAGCAGAACCGTATATCAGCAGCATCTATGATTTATGAAAAAGAATGAAAGTATTTGGTGATGATTTCATAAAACGAGCCGATGGCCAGATAAAGTAGCATATTTTTCTGCTTCTTTTGTTTTCACTACCATTTTGCTCAAAGATAAGACAAAATGACTCTAATTATTGTTTTTTAATAACGTTCCTTTTGCTCATTTTTTAAACTGCTTTCTTATCCCCACCATTTTTCCAAGAACAACATGCTTGTTTTATCTTCCACTTTCGTTCCCATATTTTCAATCTTCGTTCGGTTTTCTCACTGTCTTACATTGCAAACTTGAAATACAGAAATATAAACATGCAACACGTTTTTCTATAAAGCCACGTTGTTATTTCTGGATTTTATTGGACAACACTTTTTCATCCCTTTGCAGCATTTAAACCCTTTGGAAGCCAGAGATGTTTTAGATATCAGGGTCCGGCAGTTCAGCAGAGATGGATAGATGACAAAATTGTCCACATGAAAAAAAGTAGTGATGGTCTAAAGAAGAGAAGCTTTGGATTACACACACACACACACACACATATATATATATATATATATATATATATATATATATATATATATATATATATATATATATATATATATATATATATATATATATATATATATATATATATATATATATATATATATATATATATATATATATGACATAAAAGTAGACACCCTGTCTACTTTTAAGGCTAGGCTTAAAACTTTCCTTTTTGATAAAGCTTCTAGTTAGAATGGCTCAGGTTATCCTGAGCTATCTCTATAGTTCTGCTGCTATAGCCTTAGACTGCTGGAGGACATAGGGACCCCTTTTTCATCAGTCTGCTTCATTCTATCTCTATTCTCCCACTCTGCAGAATCTGTTAGTTCAATCTCTAACGTTCTGCTCTCTCTGCTTTTTCTCATAGTAGCTTCATCTGGTCTGTTCCTGTTTGGCTGTGACTCCATCCTGGAGAGAAATATCAGCTGTGCTGCTGCCATCAACACCTTTGTTTCTAGATGTTGGAGCTTGGCCTGTTTTTCAGTGTAGTCCTGTTTCTCTGACTGTGACTAACTGGATGTGCTCTCTTCATCCTCTGACATGGGAGCTGGCTCGGAGCTCGTCTGCCTGGCTGTGTTTTTCCTGGACGGGGCCGCCTGTGGAACTGGTTGACGAGTTCCTTTTGTATCTATGCTTCTTTTTCTATGTCTGCTTCTGTCTCCTTGAACCCCAGTGGGCCTCAGCAGATGGCCGCTCACACTGAGCCTGGTTCTGCTGGAGGTTTCTTCCTGTTAAAAGGGAGTTTTTCCTCTCTACTGTCGCTACAAGCATGCTTAGTGTGAGGGATTGCTAGAGTCAATGAGTCGATGCAATCAGCTGGTTTTCCTTAGATAGAAAACTTTGAATCAATCTGACTGGATGATCTGGTTGAATTGTTTCTTTAAATTTCCTTAAGATGTGTTATGAATAGGCGCTATATAAATAAACTGAATTGAACTGGATAAAGTTGGATTAAAAAGTTAATCAAAGTCATTTTAACCTTGAGAGTGTTAGCATACAGCATTGCAGAGACTGTGTGGAGGCTGAAGGATGGCCTCCATGCAGACCCAGGATCAGCTAAAGGGGACACTGTGCTGAGGTCAGCGTCACATATCCAAACTCTAGTACCCCCTTAACCACATGTAAGGAGACACCAGCCCCTCAGAAGGTAACCGTGTCCAACAGGGATCACTTCCCACCATCGCGCTGGACTGAAACCCTAAAGAGGGACTTAAATGGAGGCTTTGTAACAAGTTTAAAGTAGTGAACATCTTTCTTGCAGGAGATTTGTGTCGTGGCTGGGCTGATGACTTTTTGATCTGGATGTGGAGGTCAAAGGTAAATCCAGTCAACCTGCATTAAACAAGTTGTTCCCTTTAGACACCACAGAAATAAAATAATCCTCAGCTTCTCCGTGAATATCCATTTAAATCCATGTTTGCAGAGACTTGTTATCAGATGTCAGTAGAAAGAAAAATCTACACTTAAGAGCACCGTGTTTAAATAAGCTCCTCATATCTGGTGTTATGATGCATGATTAAAAGAAAAAATATTTTCCAGGTGAGATTATGAATAATCTACAATCTAGAAACATTATTTTACAAATGCAAAGCAAATTTAACTCGTCATCCTTCCATCTGCCTCCTGTTACCTTTTCCTTCCCACTACCCCCTCCCTTCCTCTCACCTCTCCTCTCCTCCCTGTTTTCCAGTTTCCCTCCTTGTGTCCCCTCCAGACCTTATAAATACACCAGAGCAGTTGGGAAGAGCTCAGAGCTGCAGAGCTGCTCATAGAAAATAGGAACAGGACAACGAGGAGGGAGAGGACACCAACAGGAAGAACAAGACAAACATCTCAGCTAAAACTTGGATAAAAGATCAGGTTTCTCAATCACAGGATTGGACAGTTAGGAAAAGGGTTTGATAGATCAGTATAGATTGAGCAGGTGCTGTCAGAAAGATGTTCTTTGTTTTCCTGCTGTGCATATGTGGTCTCCTGCTGCGAGGAAATGCCCAGGACCGAGCCTCTTTGTGGAGGGGGAACGACCGCAGCGGGCGATGCCAATACACCTTCACCGTGTCCAGTCCCATGGAGGCCACCTGCCCACAGGGTGGAGGTCCAGAGGTGGAGGGCCTTAAGAACAGACTCAGCGTGCTGGAGGCACTGGTGTCCCAGCTGAGTGGAAAGGATGTCCAACCACGAGGAGGTCACCAGGGCGCCGCTGCCAGACCGCAACCTGAGCTCCAGGAGGCGCTCAACCGGGCTGTGGGAGAGAGGAACCTGCTGCAAGGGGAGAAGGAGAGACTGGCCAGGGAGCTGGAGACGCTTAAGCTCCGGATGGAGGAGATGAGGAGGGAGACAGAGAGGCTGAGGAGCAGACCGTGTCTGGGTCAGAATCCAGCAGTGGCCCACAGCTCCCCCCAACAGGACTGGGGCCGAGGCAGACCTGTGTCTGGTAAGAGAAACACAACGTTATATAAACACAAAAGCTGTAAATTGGTTTTGTTTGTATTTTGTTTTTTTTTTACATTTTATGTAAAAAAAAAAGGCATGATTTAAGTGAGTGCATCATTTTGTTATCTGTATTTCTGACCTATTATAACAAACCTCTTAGATAGTTTGCTCTTTATTCCTACAGTCATGCATTCTGGTCCGTCTCTTGTTTCTATCATGGCTCTGCACAGATTCTAAGAAGCTGTTTTCATGGATCAGAAACTTTTCTATAAAAAAGGAAGAAACATAAAGAAACAGCTTTGTACTAATGGGATTTTTACATTTTAATTCATGTTATTTATACCACATTAAAAGTGCAGACGTAAATGTTCAAGAAGGCAAAATACTTTGAAAGGTGTGTTACATTTATTTCTGTTATAATTAATTAATGAAACAACATAAATGACTAAACATTGAAGTCACTATTATTTGCTGCATTGGAGAGTTAAGGGTTTGATGCCATAGAGGGAAATCATTCAGGATTTAAAGCCAAATAGATCTCTGTGTGTTTGAATAGTAATGTTTTGGTTGCCTATCATCGTGCAGTCAGAGACCCCCAGCTCATGTAAACACCCCCCCCACATTGCTTTTAGAAAAGCTGGAAGGCAGCCATTGAGGATCAGTTTTATATTTATGGATAGTTGTGCAGTCTTTATGGCTGGTGTTTCCCCTCAGCGTGGCAAAGCTTGTCCTTTTTCTTCTTATTATTTTTTTGTTTTTAAGATGTGATATGGTGCATTTCTTTTCACTAAACACCTCCCACAGTCACCATTCTTCTTTTAAATTTCATTCAATTCAGTTTATTTCTATAGCGCTAATTCACAACACATTTCATCGAAGGCACTTTCCAGTTCACCAGATCATCCAGTCAGATTGATTCAAAGTTTTCTATCTAAGGAAAACCAGCTGATTGCATCGACTTATTGACTCTTCAGCAATCCCTCACACTAAGCATGCTTGTAGCGACAGTGGAGAGGAAAAACTCCCTTTAACAGGAAGAAACCTCCAGCAGAACCAGGCTCAGTGTGAGCGGCCATCTGCTGAGGCCCACTGGGGTTCAAGGAGACCGAAGCAGACATAGAAAAAGAAGCATAGATACAAAAGGCAACTGTAAAAGACGGCCCCGTCCAGGAAACACACAGCCAGGCAGACGAGCTCCGAGCCAGCTCCCATGTCAGAGCATGAAGAGAGCACATCCAGTTAGTCACAGTCAGAGAAACAGGACTACACTGGAAAACAGGCCAAGCTCCAACATCTAGAAACAAAGGTGTTGATGGCAGCAGCACAGCTGATATTTCTCTCCAGGATGGAGTCACAGCCAAACAGGAACAGACCAGATGAAGCTACTATGAGAAAAAGCAGAGAGAGCAGAACGTTAGAGATTGAACTAACAGATTCTGCAGAGTGGGAGAATAGAGAGAGAATGAAGCAGAATGATGAAAAAGGGGTCCCTATGTCCTCCAGAAGTCTAAGCCTATAGCAGCATAACTATAGAGATAGCTCAGGATAACCTGAGCCACTCTAACTAGAAGCTTTATCAAAAAGGAAAGTTTTAAGCCTAGCCTTAAAAGTAGACAGGGTGTCTGCCTCACGGACTAAAACTGGTAGTTGGTTCCACAGGAGAGGAGCCTGATAACTAAAAGATCTGCCTCCCATTCTACTTTTGATTTCTAGGATTCACTAGTAAACCTGCAGATTGAGAGCAAAGTTTCGCCCCCCAGTGAAGCATCCCTCAGTTTACACCCACCTGGAATTCTGCTTCATTTACTTTTAACGTTGAGATTTCCTGGACCGATAAATCTTTTCATTCCTGTAAGACCGTCTGTATTCCCTGTGCTTCAGGAGGCCCGTATAGCCCTGCATCCTCTCAGTTATGGGCTTAGCTCCTCATGTTTTCACCTGCAGACTGAAATACACAGGAAGGGCCCCCCTAAGGGTGACAGGCAGATGCAGAATAGATCATCCAGACTTGCAGGAGCAGAGGAGAAACAACAATAAATCAAGATATTCTGGAAAGTTTGTAGGTAAGAGGAAAAGCCTTTGATGGGATTTTTATGGCTTACAACCCCAACACTATTTGTGACCTTTTTAAATACTTAAAATATACGAGCTGATGTTCTGAAATGGTTATGTTATGCTTTAAGAATAAGCATTAGATTACATTTACAGCACAAGTGGTAACCCAAACCAGCCGAGTACTTGGTTCAAATAGTGTTAATCTTTCCTGAATGGGACGTGATCCGAGCCCTGAAGTCTGTTCTACATGATGGTGATCTATTAAATAATTTCACCTTATTTAAAAATATATAAATTAAACAGAGAGGCAGTCAGACACCAAAATTCTTTATATATTATAGTGGGTGACATTAAAGGATGCCAAGACATAAAACAGTCATTAATATTGTTGGAACAGCATATGGAGTCATAAAAAAACAAAGTTTTTATTCCTCTCAGGCTCAAATTAAGTTGCAGTTGCAGGAAAAATCTTATATTTGGAGAAAATGATCATATGGGGTAGTAATATACAATTCAGACTTTTTAATTAATACTGAAGTAATAATATAGTAATAATTAATACTGAAGACTGAATCTGATATGAACGTTAACTTTATTTGAATGTCACAAACAAAAAAAAAAAAATAAAATTGGGAAAAAAAATTTCTCTCACAAAATTAGACTTTTTCTCAAACTTTTTCTCCGCCGACATCTCAAAACCTCTTGAGAAGGCCGTTTCTGTTAAACTGTTGCTCAAAATATAGGCAAACTAGTAGATTAAGCATGTGGCTTCCATTGGTGCCTGTTTGGGCACACGTTGCGAATCCACAACATTCAAATCGAGATGCCTCTGGTGAAAAACCCAGAGGAGATAAAATCTACTAATTGGCATGTGTCATATCTAAACACATTCATGATTCATATATGTAGTATTGATTTCAAAATAATGGAAACTGGTAGTGATACTTACATGAAATTGGTGCTTAGAAAATCAGTTTCGGTGACACCAAGGACTCAGCCATGTTGAAAGTGAGTCAGCAGTGCTATCTGGTGAGCTGGAGAGAAACTGTTTGTTGCAAATGTACAACTAAGTCCTTCTGTTGTACTTCCGAGTAACAAAAGCTCTTAAAATTTGGATGTGGAGTAATTAGCTAAGTGGGATTTAGCTGTTGCAAATATGCAACATCTGCCTGGAGAGGGTTATCTTTAACTGTCCCAGAAAAGGTGGTAGGATGGAAGAACCCCCCCAAAAAAAAGACTTTAACAGAAAGATCAGCACCACCTAGACTTATTAATCCAGTAACTTAGAAGCCTTCCAAAACTTTTCACACCCTTCCACTTTTTCTGTTTTTTGTAACGTCAAAACCTCAAACTTTGAATTTCTTACAATTTTGTTTGGGAAATCCCCACTAAGTAGAGCATGACTGGAAATCCAAAGGTAAACTATACATCGGTGGTCAAACATATGGTAAGCATTTGTAGTCAGCCCCTTGAATCAGACACCCCTAAAGAAAATTCTAGGAACCCAAATTATGGAGAAGTTTAAAACAAGCCCTGATGACAAGTCCGAAAACCTACCAGCCAATGGTTGTATGTCAAACTGACAGGCTGCGCAAGGAAAGCTGAAGCTGCTGAGAGGCACATGTCAGCACACAGGCCTTGTCTGGACTGACTGAGGTGGTCGTTTAGGCCTCTAGATCCTGCAAAGCTGATAGAGACATAAAGAAAAAGGCTTCCAGCTGCAGATAAGGCCGACAACTGAAGGCAAAGCTTCTAATAGTGACTAAACGGGTAAAAGTTTATGGGTTACAAATACTTTTGAAAGTCCTTGTTGTTGTTTTTCTAGACAGCACCGACTTCCATTCACCAAACTACTGATCATTAACGCAGCACATCAACAACAGATGTTGACGCTTAAAGTTCGCTGCTCCACCACACACCATCGCTTTTAATCACAACATATCCGGCCATCTTCTTTCTGTAGTTTGTAATCATCGTTGTGTTTAGACCACCAGGAGTTTCCACACAGAGCTGCTTACAGTTTATCAGATTCTGTTTGACAAGGTTTATTTTTCACTGCAACGGTTTGAGAGGTAAACAAGCTGGAAAAACAGAGACAAGGGTCACACTGGGTTATGGAAATATGACAAACAAAAACAAAGTGTTAGATAAAAGAGATATTCTTAACCTTGTGGACTATATCACAGTTTGAAATAATTATTGAATTAAATTAGCTGATATTTTCATGAAATGTCACCAACATAGTTTATCTACAGAAATATAAAGTCAGTTCAATCCATTTAAGTAAATTTCATAAGTTCCAGTTTAACCTCAGTTATAAAACCTCTTTATCTACATGCAAAATGTAGAAAAATGGATGCAGCTCATCATCAGCTGGTGAAGATTCTCAGCCATCCAGGTCAGTCATTCCAAAAAAAGTAAAAAAAAAAAAAATCAGCTGGACTTTGTTTCCAAGTGAAGACGTTTCGCTTCCCATCCAGGAAGCTTTTCAATTCCCCCTTTCCAAAACATAGACAGGTATCGGTTATTACAGGCTAACAATGAAACAAAACCACCCCCATCCAAAGGGGCGGAGCCGCTCATCAGGATCAGTTTGCATGTTTCTAAGCAAAACAAGGCTTTTCTTTATAAAGCCTGGAACTCAACAATATTTCTGACATTTTGAATTGAAAAAGCTTCCTGAAAACAAAACATCTTCAAACTTGGAAACAAAATCCAGTGGATTGTTTTTTAAAATTATTTTTAATGAGCAGCACATCATCCTAAAACTATAGTTCTGATAGTGAAACACGGCAGTGGGAGAGTCATGCTGTGGGGATGGCTTTCAGGTACAGAATTGGGGGTGGTGATTCTCCTTCCATCAGCCCAACCAATACAGTCAGATTCATGACTGAGTGTTTTAGATCGGAGCGTGTCGGTGAGTTAAAGTGACCCTGACCGCATTCAGAGCTGATCTACAAACTGTTTGACTCCAAACCAGCAGGGAACCAGCATCTAACGAGGGCTTGATCCCTCCTTCAAATGGTTCCCTAAATGTCACATTCCTCGCTGTCATTAGTATAACAGACAGGCACGTATATCCCGGTCTAGCTGTGACGTGCGTCTCTGTCTCCAGGCTCCAATCAGATGTCCCACCTCATGACGAAACCCAACAGGCAGGGCGACAGCAGCAACCTGAGAGGTGAGACCAGTTTCCTTCCACAGAAAGCCAACTTTCTGCTCAGCCACTGTTCTTTATTTTTATTTTACTGCACATTGATTAATACTTAAACTGTCGATCTTTTCTGGCTTCAGATTCAGCCTGGCAGTACGGACCGATGGGCTTTCAGGAACTGAAGGCTGAGGTGACCGAGGTTCCTGCTCCTGACAGCAACAACACAGGTCTCTGTCTTATTATCATTAAAACTGCAGCAATTTCCCCCCCCAAAAAATACACGGATGATCTACAGAAGCCCTCTGAGCCAAATCCTGCTTTTCCTTTGAGAGAATATCACCAGAGGAACGCAGTATGAAGCAGAGATGCTAATACCAGCCAGTTCCATCCACCATCATTGGTGTGAGCCAGCAAACATGACCCCCATCCCTCCTGCTGACAACCTCAAAGCAAATACAGCTATTAATACCGAGGCATGTGGGGTGAGAATACCTCTGCCGTGCCTCGACGTTGGTATGAGGGGCCCTCCGAATTTCATGTTTGCCTCATAAAAGAGGAGGGAAAGGACCTTTAACGAGGCTGTCATTTAATCTAACCCTTCCCAGGGTGGATCCCAGGCTCCTCTAAAGCTCCTAAAGTATGCATCAATCTGCCTCACGAGGAAAAAACATCACAGAACATCGTTCTGTTTCATTTGAGACCAAAGCACATGGTAATGGGTGTATTTATAAGGCTTGCTGGTGTCTAACCTAAAATCTGGGTCTACATCCGGAACCTGAGAGGAACGCTGTATTTTAGGAAGAGATAAATATAAAACCAACCTTATCATTTTCTCTAGAGCCTCTCCTCTGAGGGTGGTGACTCAGATGAAACCTGCCGGTGCTAATAGTCGGTTTTAGGATCAGAATGATCAGCTGTTTTTCTGATGATGACTCGTCAGACTTCTGGGTTTTTCTCTTCTTCTTTTAGAGAAAACATCTCAGAGCTTTGATGCGATTTGATACAAAAATGTTCACATCTTTTTTTGGTTTCTGTTGAATACATGTTGGTAAATCTTTCTGCCCCCCCTCCTCATTCGTTGTCCATCTTTCTGCAGGATGCGGGGAGCTGATCTCTGTGGGGGAGCCGGTCACTCACAGGAAGGCCGATAACATCGCGGGTAAATATGGGGTTTGGATGCAGGATCCTGAGGCCGTTTCCCCCTATGGACCCAACATGCTCTGGCGCATCGATACCGTTGGCACAGAGATCAGGCAGCTGTATGGGTATGAAGACATGGAGCAGCTCTCCAAAGGCTTCCCCTCCAAGGTAGGAATCACAGCAGAACCTTAAACTTGAATGGATTGTATTTGGATTTAATATCCTAGATCAGGAATCCCCCAAAGTGGGTCCTCAGGGTCGCTGTCCTGCAGGTTTGAGAGGTTTTCCTGCTCCAGCACAGCTCATTTATATCGATAGTTGATTAAAAGGCTTTTGCAGAATTTAGAGCTCGCAATAAGCTGCAAAAATAATCCCGTCCCAGTCAGAGAGACCCAAACCAACAGTTAAGCAAATTACAAGTTCAAAACCTCTGGAGCAGCGTCCCAAAACTGCAGCAGACTCATTGATTGTAAAAAATAAAGATTTTGTACATTTCATGGTAGAAGTGATCAGTTGTAGCGCTCAGACGACAAAGAATCAAAATCCAATCAAAATAATAGTGAAAGCTGCAGAAAAGTATCTTGAAGTCAGAGATTTAAACTGGGAAACAGTTGAAAGTCTGATGGGAAAACCAGTAGGACCATCAGAAACTGGCAGAGTGACGATAAGTTCAAGATTAATTAGAAATTATGAGGACAAATTTGATTAAGTATTTATTATGTTGGATTAAATTAAACAGTTTGGAAAAATAATTTTTTTTCTTTTATTTATTCTGGGGGTGAGTCTTGTTTCCCGTTTCCTTGTTTAACTCCTTATCAGCTGGTGGCGGTCATGCATTTTAACTAGTTTGCCAACTGCCATAAAACCTTAGAAGAAGGAGAAAAAGGCTTTTGTTGAACTGCAATCATCAGAATGAGCTGCGCTAAAGCAGAGAAACCTCTAAAACCTGCAGGACAGCAGCCCTCCATGATGCCTGTCCTGGATCAGGGGGGCAATTCCAGTTCCTGAGGCCCGCTATCCTGCAACTTTTAGATGTGTCTTTGGTTCAACACACCAGAATAAAGTAATTAGATGATGGAGAGGACTCTGGAGGAACTGACTGCATTAGGTAACTCAGCCAATATATTCAGGTGTGTTGGAGCACGGACGGATGTAGAAGTTGCAGGATACAGCCCTCCAGGAACCAGAATTGCCCAGCTCTGTCCTAGATAATGACAAAGTAGAGCATTAATATCAAGGGGAAGGAAAAATCTAAATGAAATCTGAAAGTGTGACCTTTTTTTAAAAGGTTTTTTAAAGAATAAAAGGCATCATGAGGATTCCAAACACAGCAGGTTAGGGAGGAGGTTGTGGAGAGTTTCAGAAGGAGTCAGGTTTGAAGATGACCTGATAGAGAGCTTTAATTAGAAACAGCCCAGAGATAGATGGTAACTCTGGAGGAGCTGCAGAAGACGGGGCAACTATGGTGCCTTCTGTAAATCTGGCCTTTATGGAAATATGGCAGGAGAAAAAAATCCAATGGGTTGTTGGATACTTGTAACTTTCTGACTGATATTTAAAGCTGTATCTGTGGTGGAAAAATGAACTCTAGACACCCCCTCAGAGCAGGGGCGAAGCTAGATGGGGGGCCATGGCCATCCTTAGCCAATCATTGGCCACCCCTACCATTTTGGTGGTTAATTGATGCACATCAGTATACTAACATTAAAGATAAGTTCAGAATTCATAATCTTTTCAGAACTACATTTTGTGTTAAACATGGGGTAAAATGATAAAAATAAAATGATGTTTCTGGAAGTCATCTAGGTGTCTTCAGTGAAATCATAGATAACTATTTTCATAAAAACATATTAAATAATCAACTTATGTAGGTATAAGTACTTATAAATATAAATTTAATGCAGAATGATTATTGATAAAAGTAGGTAAGTAATGACAATGGAAAAGATGTTTGGCCATGTTTTATCAAGAAAGCACGGATGTTTAAATATATGCGTCTATTTGTTAGCAAAAGCTGTAGGAGAATATAGTTTGTCTTTATTTTGAAAATGTGGATGTTTTGCTCGTTAAATTTCCTGTTGGAAACGTATAGACTGACCCTGAGGTTGTTGTTTTTTTTCTTTTTAACAGTGTCCTGTCTGACAATGTGGCAATAACTGTCTTGATGCCAAAAAAGTTTTTTCTTTCACAAGTGGAGCGGTACGGCTATCGGCATAGTGTTCCGCTTGATTTATGCATATAAATAGCTTTATTATCATAATGCAGGGAGAGTTACAGATTATATGGACACTGCAATGTAGGTAGAACAGGAAAGGAAGAACAGAAAAAAAGGAGAAAAGACGAAAGAAAGAGGAGTCCCCAGCTCCCCCAGCACACCAACACCTGATTTAATCTGTTTAAAACTACTTGCATAAAAAGGGAAAAAATGTCATAATCTAAATCGGCACAGATTGCACAAGACTTTATGAAAGACCTGCAGCAAGAATGTTTTCTCCAAACATTGGCTAAAGATGGCAGATTTTAAACTAATGCAAGCTTGACTATTACTATCTGCCGGACATGAGAGCGTTTAACCCGGCTGCTCCACTTTATTAATATGCCCTAGTTTAAAGATATCTAACACAAAATCTAAATAAATTGGACAAAAAGCCTAAACTGTGTTGTGATGTTCTGCTGGAACAGGTGCTGCTGCTGCCAGACCCGTTAGAAAGCACCGGCGCCACCATGTACCGGGGGTCCCTGTACTACCAGAGGCGGCTGAGTCGCACACTGATCCGCTACGATCTGGCTGCTGAGCACGTGGCAGCCCGCCGGGAACTCCCCCATGCTGGCTTCCACGGCCAGTTCCCCTACTCCTGGGGGGGCTACACAGACATCGACCTGTCTGTGGATGAGAAGGGGCTGTGGGCCGTCTACTCCACCAGTAAGGCCCAGGGAGCTATTGTGATCTCCAAGCTGGATCCCAACAGTCTGGAGGTGAAGAGGAGCTGGGAGACCAGCATCAGGAAGGCGTCTGTGGCCAACTCCTTCATGATCTGCGGGAAGCTGTACACCGTGGCGAGCTACGCGTCTCGGGAAACCACCATCAACCGTGTGTATGACACCGGAACCAGCCAAGGGAGGGCCGTGTCCATCCCCTTCAAGAACAAGTACGGCTACAACAGCATGGTGGACTACAGCCTGGCTCAGAGGAAGCTGTTCGCCTGGGATAACTTCCACCTGGTGACCTATGACCTCAGGCTGGGCCGTCAGCAGGCCAACTGAGGCCGTCATGGAGGACTGCTGCTCTTCTGTTCCTGTTTCAGAGACTCTCAGCTGTAGACCATAACATGAGCGGCAGCAACAGATCTATGGAAACCAGAACGCCCTCAACTGGTTCCAACCGTTCTGTTGAAATTACATAAAAATCTGTTTATTCAATCATAAGTACTGAAATTAGAAACTGTTTAGGGCAACCAGAAACCTGTCTTCTGGCAGATTTTTCCCCCATCATTATTCCTCAGTAATTAGTAGAATTTGGCCCTTCTGTCTCTCCATAGAGCGGCAGCCGTTCAGCTACCAAACCTCAAAGAAACCCCAGAGTTGCACCCTCAGCAGGTCTACTTTTCCTTTTTTTTTGCTGTGGCGTGGTCCACCATTTTTGTCTTCAGAGGAATTATTTTTTTACCGCCTTTGATCCATATGTATTGTGTTGTTTTCCATGTTAAGCTTTATTTTGGGGACTTAAGAAAAAAAAAAGTCAGTTTAACCCACTCCCCGGAAAAAAATAAATGTGTGATTCATTAACCCTGTGATGCAAACTGTGGTTTTAAATATCCTGCAGTGACGTATCAGCCATCTGTCACTAAAACTGCCTCCATGCAGCTTGTATTGAATATTGCATGTAATTTGCACAGTTTAATCATTATGTCCAAAAATCATAAAATAAACGTTATAAATAAGGTTTTGTTTTCATTTTTCAAAAATATGTTAAATGAACCAGCTTAATGGAAAGGCCAGTTAAATAGTCAATTTTCAAAAGATTGTTTTAAAATAACTTTACTTCCTCAAAAAAATTGTTAGTTTCATATTAAAGCACTCTACAGAATTAGAACTTTAAGCTCATTAAAATACTAAAATTCACTTTAACTTACTGAAAATATTTCAAATTTGAGCTAGAAAGATTATAAGATGCAAGGAAAGGAAGAAGTCAGGCAAGATGATGGAAAAATATCAATAGGCAGGACAGAGATGATACAGAAAGAAGCATAATACTTTGAAATGATGGGAGGAAAACCGCAAAAATAAAAAATAGGCAAGGTCCAGCGGATGGGAAAGAAAAGGAGACGAGTCAGGATGGAAGATAGGAAGGAAAGCAAAGAGTGTGAAGGACAGGACATGGTAAGACCAGGAAAGAAAAATGTTAAAGTAATGAATGAATGGAATTAAGGAAACAAAGGAGGAGGCAACGAAAATACTGTGGGCAAAAACTATGGACAAAGTGGGAAAGAAAAGGATGTAAAGGAAACCGGAAGATAATGTAGGAAGAAAAAGAAAAGATTCTACGAAGCAATGCATTTTTAGACACCAGAGTAAAAAAAGAAAACATATATTTCTAATCTAATCTATAGCATTTTTCAGGCCAAATAAACTTGATAATTACATCAAACATCATCTTCTACCCAATGAAGGTCTGCATACCATCACCAGCCTGGAAGAGGCTGCATCAGTCTCTGGGTGGAGGACAGTAGCTCTCTACTGACACCCAGTGGTGTGATCTATAAACTACAGAAGAGTATTAGGACCAGGCTAGTTTTTTTTTTCTTTTTATAAGAGAATAAAGTCGTAATATGAGCATATTGTAACATAAAGTCCTAATATTATGAGAATAAAGTTGTATTTTATAACAACTCTGACAAGAAGCACCGTCTTCCCTAAAATGAAGAATGTTGAGCATCTTGTGAATAAATAAGGAAATATTAAGTCTTATCACAGTAGCTCAAATACTCAGGTTGCTGTTTAATGGTGCTGGTCTGATGCTGGTTGTGGTCTGATGACTTAAATCTCACAATTTTACAACTTTATAATGCTGCATTATCCTCATAATGTTAGGAATTTATTCTGGCCCTAATAATCAATCATAATAAACAAAGTTTAGCAGAAATTCATTAAGAAAGAAGAACATACAAATAACAGTATATTATTTTTATTAGTTTCTGTAACCAAACCAAGAGAATGTAAATAAGACCGTACATATCTTAATACAGTGATGAAACCCCTGTACAACAAAAAACAAAAAGTCTTTACCCTCCCTCCCTCCCTCTCCAAATAAAGGAGTCTCCCCCAGCTAGGGCAGATGTGAAGGGAGTCCCTCTCCATCTCAGGGTGCATACTACCGTACACTTCAAGAGGATTCTGCGACTCCAACACCAGAGCGTCGCTGCGGGTAGAACAGCCAGCGGAAGTGAGGCAGAGAAAGAAAACGGCACTGATTGCTCTCATCAGCAAAGACAAAACCAAACATAAAAGTCCTTCTGCACAACCGCTTTAATATTTGTGGCTTCGCATTGCATCTTTTTTTTTCCTCCTTGTTCTTCATCCCGTGCCTCCTCATTATGAAGGTCAACATGCACGCTCAAACAAAAAGGGTCAATCTGTTCCTCTACGCAGCCCTGTCCTGCTAAAACACTAGCTAAGGGCACTGATATCAGTCATTAGCAGCAGCTCTGGATGCCTGTATACAGTGAGGTGTGTCAATGTGTTTTGTGACCACTCTGGGATGGGTGTGAAAGCAGTGCAAGGATGTGTGATAACTGCTCCCACTGCGGAACAGCTGGAAATATGTGATCCTACTTTATCAAATCAATCCAGCGAGCGCGCCGCGAGCACGCCACTGCAGCATTGCTGACGTTAAACAGAGTCCAGCGCTAAACTTTCCCACCTGGAACGGACACACGCCTGGACACAGGAGGAGCTCTCGGGCAAGGAGATGAGAGCGCGAGGCTCACAGGCAGACAAATAAACAGGGAAAAAAAAAATCATTACAGTCAATCAAACGCTGCAAATTTTTCACATTTCTGATAAAACAAAACCATTTTTGATTTCATATCTTGGTGCAGCAGCTGTTCCAACCGTTTCTGGATTAGTTCTAATTGGTCAAACAAAAGGTGTGCTTCCATACATAGGATATCTTCTTAAGGAAACAAATTGATTTATTCATTTCTTTTTGTAAACAAAAACATGTTTCTCCAATAATATATCTGAAGCTATGGGGGGGTTCAAACTAAAACGAGCTATAAAAACGGCTAACTCAGCAGCAATTCTCAGATCTCTCTGTCAGTCAGATGGTGGATTTCTATGGAACGACGTGAGCAGCAAGTTTATCAGCATCTAAGTATGATGAAAGTCGGCCCACCTGCAGAGCAGCAGGGTGGGCAGAAAGGAGGAAGAGGACGACCTCCGACCTCCCCCCCGGTTCCTCCTCCTCCCCCACGCTGTCCTCCAGGGCTGGTAGGAGGCTGTGATTGTGTAAATGGGGGTAGGGTCTCTCTTCCATCCTGATGTTTTGTCGTCTCGATGGGGCTGGCGGCTCCTTATTTGCCCTCCTCTGGTTTGATGGCCTGTGGTTTAATGGGGCCAGTTCGAATGGGCTTGGCCGTGGATGCCGCAGGTTTGTTGGCATCCGGTCGCTCCACGGCTGCCTGGTGGTTGGAGGCCGACGGGTCGAGCGGAGCTTTTCCTCCTTGATCGAGCCGAGGCTTGCTGACTTGAGGGGCCTTCAGCTGCTGCTGCTGCTGCTGCTCTGAGAAGAACTTATGAGTCGACTGAAGAACTTCAGCGCGCTGCTTTGCCTTCAGAGGACGGGAGGAAAAATCAATGAACCAATCAGGACGAACCAATCAGCCTAAAACGGAGAATAGAGCCACCGCCTACCTTTAGGTCCTGCTCAGCCTTCAGGGCTGCTTGTGTCCCTCTGGGTGGAAGGGAGGAGCCAGAGGGGCCCCTGGGAGGGTGCTGACTGTGCTGGGGTCGGGGGTGAGGCATCAGCCCACCACTCATATTGGGTGAAATAGGAGGACCCATTGAGGAGCGCTGGACTCCTCCTCCAAAGGAGTTTGCGTGGTGAGGGCGAACCAGAGGAGAGACGATATTGGGCTGAGACAGCATCTAAAGAAAAAGTCAACGATCAGAGACGCATCGAGGTTTCACAAACATTTTCTTCTACTAAACCATCAATCATCAATTAAAGACGTTATGATCTAGTTTCCAGGCAACGGGCTGCATGTCTGACGGAATGTATTCGCTGCATCATGAATCAGATCAAATGTTGATGCATCATGATCTGGTGTGCTACCTGTGGGTTGAACTGGCCGGGGAAATGCTGATTCATTCTCAGGCCTGCAGAACTGGGCTGGAACTGCTTCTGGTAAAGCATGCTGTTCATTTTACTGGATTGGCTACTGGGAGAAGTGGAGCTGGCCCTGCAGCAAGCAGACAGAAAACCATTGATGTGACGCAAAGAGCAAGACAAGGGCAAAGAAAAAAAAAAAAGAACATTTGTACAAAATGATTTATACACATTATCTGCTGTTCTTTGATGAACAGAAACTAAGAGCGGTGATGTGATCCATCTCCCTGCTTTAAGTCAGAACGGCTGGATTATTATGGAACCAGTCGGAACAGCAGACCCAGTAGCGACCTGTTTGAAGCAGATATAATCATTTATTTAGCCGGGCATATTTATCGCGTTATATTTGGTCAGTCTGTGCTGTCAGACCCTATTGAACGAAGGGCCTTTTTCCACTTTCTCGCACACATAAGCTTAAGCTACGGCATCAGAGCCTGTGGAGACCGAGATCTCAGAGGAAAGTGAGGAGCTAAAGAAAGAAGCTCCCTCCAACCTTAAGTCCCCTCAGGCAGCATTTTGATTCCCGGTTACACCAAGTTAAAAAGGTAAACAAAACGAACGCAGCGAGCCGACACTACAGCATTGAGGTAAGCAATTATATAAAGAGAAAACTGCGGTGAGGTTTCATTTTTGAGACGAGGATGAGATGTTCCTGTTGAATGCTGCTTTATGATGACCTTAGATGGGAATCCATTCATTTAATGCACTCTGTGGGAACTGGTTCACAAGTAGAATTTCCATTTTTCATTGGAAAAAAAATCTTGTTTTTGCATATTTTCTTATTTAAATTCTCATTCAAGAAAACTGCTTTGATGTTGTTCCAAAAAGGTAAAAAAAAAAAATGTTATTATGAGAATAATGTCTGGCTTCAGTTTGACAAATTAGCAAATCTTTTAGCACCAGTGTAGAACTAAAGTTTAACTTCACATGATGCTCCACATTCCACATTTTAGGGAAGAAAGTGCTTGA